TCGGAGCTCACTGGAACAGTCAGAAAAGGAAATACAGAAGAATCAAGAATAGGGAGGGATTTTCGAGGAATCCCACAACCTCCTAACGGCCACACTAAGACAGACAATACAACACCCTCTTCCCCGTTTTCCCTCTGCCTACTAATACCCCACGGATTCTCTAACTAACTTCCCACATCAGCTTCCCTCTCCCCAGCCAGAACCGATTCCCCAGATGGGCCTGTCTTGGGCCCCAACTCTTTACCTTCCGTTCCAATTGGGCCGGAGTCTCCCACCAGACCACCCTTGGTCCTCCTGGTGTAGACCTTCTTCCCCGGAGGCCTGACAATACTCCCCCCTTCGAAGACAACCTTGTCCCCAAGGTTGAAATGAGGAAATTGGGCCTGAAACACCTCTAGCAGCTCCCAGGTGGCCTCCCAGTCCGGCAGGTCCTTCCACTGAACTAGCACTTCGGCAACTTATTTCCTTCCCACGGACGACCACCTGCCGCGAAGAACCTCAGAAGGCTCAACTAGTAACTCTAACTCATCCGAGAGCTGCAGGGGAAGTGGTTGGTGCCGGGGTGCATCCCCCTTGAAGGGTTTCAGCTGCGAGACGTGGAAAACTGAGTGGATTCTCGCATCTTCGGGCAGCTTGAGACGATAGGCCACTTCTCCGATCTTCTCCAAAACTTCAAAATGCCCATAAAATCGAGGAGCGAGCTTTTCATTGGGCTGGCGGGCTAATGACTTGAGACAATAAGGGCGGAGTTTGAGCAGGACACGGTCACCTGCCAAAAAGGAAAGCTCCCGACGGTGCGCATCCGCGTACTTCTTCATGCGTTGTTGTGCAAGCACGAGGTTACCCTTGAGCACATCAAGGAGGTCGTTCCTTTGTCGCAGCTGGAGGTTGACATCTTCCACGGCCGAGGGAGAATCCTGGAAGCGATGAACAGTCGGAGGTTCGCGGCCATACAACACCTGAAAGGGACAATGCTGCGTGGATGCATTATAGTTGGTGTTGAACCAAAATTCAGCCCACGGTAAGAATTGGAGCCACAAGCGAGGCTGATCACTTGCGAAACATCGGAGATATACCTCCAGACACCTGTTCACAACCTCAGTCTGACCGTCAGACTCAGGATGGTAGGCTGAACTACGTCGCAACTTGGTCCCCTGCATGCGGAAGAGCTCCCGCCAAAAGAAACTCATGAAGAGAGGGTCCCGGTCGGTGACGATGGAGGCCGGAATGCCGTGCAGCCGGACTATCTCCCGCACAAACACTTCAGCGACCTTCTTGGCCGTGAAAGGGTGAGAGAGTGGTATCAAGTGGGCGTACTTTGATAACCGGTCCACGACCACCAAAATTGTATCGATGCCCTGCGACCTTGGCAGCCCTCCTATGAAATCCATGGAAATGTCTTCCCACACCCTCTCCAGAATTGGCAATGGTTGGAGCAATCCCGCAGGAGTCATTGCCTCATACTTCGAATGCTGACAAATGGGATATTGAGCAACATATTGGCGTATGTCTTCCTTCATCCCCCTCCAAAATAGGTTATGCGCCACTCGCTTATAAGTGCGCAGAAACCCAGAATGACCCCCTAGAGCCGAGTCATGAAATTCGTGCAACATGCATTGTATCCATGGCGACTGCCTAGGAAGGACTATCCTACCCTGAAAACACAACAAGTCCCACTGCAAGGACCACCCCGCAGCCAACTCCTCCCCCTGAGCGAGTTTCTGTAACAAGGCAGCGCAGTCGCCATCTTGCCGCCGCTCCCGCCTGATATCCGCCTAATTAACCAACTGCGGAATGGAGATAGCTGACAACTCAACCCCGGCGTCAGCCCCACGTCTAGAGAGTGCGTCCGCCACACGATTTGACGCCCCTTGTTTGTATTCCAACGCAAAATCATACCCGAACAGCTTGATTACCCAACGGAGGTGTTCCGGATGTAGCAGCCGCTAGTCCATGAGGAATCGGAGGCTCTGTTGGTCCGTGCGGACCACGAAGTGCCCACCGAGGAGGTAATGGCGCCACTTCTGGACGGCCAAGACAACTGCCATGAGTTCCTATTTGTAGACGGACCAGAGCCTGGAAGTGGCGGAGAGAGCCTTGCTGAAAAAGGCTATTGGCCTCCCCCCCTGCATTAACACTGCCCCAATTCCCGACCCGGAAGCATCTGTTTCTACCACAAATTGCTTGGAGAAATCTGGTATAGCCAAAACGGGAAGAGAGGTAAGAGAGGTCATGGCCCGCTTTAGTGCGTCGAAGGCAACCCCCGCCTCTGGGGTCCATTAGAAGTCGCCCTTCTTAAGCACATCGGTCATGGGTTTTGCCAACCATCCAAAATTTTGAACGAAACGCCGGTAATAACCAGCCAGTCCTAAGAATCCCCTTACTCCCCTTACGTTCTTGGGCGTGGGCCAAGAGAGTATGGACTCCACCTTAGCCGGATCAGTTGCCACCCCGGAAGCCGAGATAATATGCCCCAAATACTCCAACTGTGGCTGCCCAAAAACACATTTTTTTCGGTTTGCAAAGAGCCGCTCCCTCCGAAGAATGCCCAGGACTACGGCCAGGTGCTTTTCATGTTCCTCCCATGTTCTACTATAGATTAAAATATCATCGAAAAACACTAAAACGAATTGGCGCAAATAGGGTCGAAATACCTTGTTCATAAGCGCCTGAAACGTGGCGGGGGCATTGGTCAAGCCGAACGGCATGACTAAGAATTCATAGTGTCCTTCGTGCGTTCGGAATGCCGTCTTTTCCACATCGAATTCCCTAATTCGTATTTGATGGTATCCTGCTCGCAAATCCAACTTCGAAAACACCGCAGCCCCATGAAGCTCGTCCAACAATTCGTCTATAACCGGAATCAGAAATTTGTCTGGCACGGTGAGTTGATTGAGGGCGCGATAATCGATGCAAAAACGCCAGCTTCCATCCTTCTTTTTGACCAATAAAACCGGGCTGGAGAAGGGGCTGTTGCTTGGCCTAATGATCCCCGAAGCCAACATTTCTGCCACTAATCTCTCAATCTCATTCTTTTGCACCTGGGGGTAACGTTAAGGCCTAACGTTAGGCGGCTCAGCCCCGGTCTTAAGGACAATCTGGTGGTCTCGAGCACGAGTCGGTGGTAGTCCTTCGGGTGTCACAAACACGTCAGAAAATTGGGCTAAAACCCCTTGGACGGTGGCTGGTTCCAGCATGGCTTGCTCCCCCCTTCCTCGCCCTCAAGGACACAAATTTCCAAGAAGGCTCCCGTTACCTCACCCTGAAATTTTCGTGTGAGAGCACGGAAACTTACCGGTTCCCATCGTAGGGTGGGATCCCCCTTCAAACAAATCCAGCCCTCCGCAGCCCGGAATTTCAGGGTGAATTCCCACCAATTTGCCCTGATTTCCCCCAACGTTCGTAGCCAATAAATGCCCAAAACCACTTCGGCACATCCTAAGTCGAAGGGTACAAAATCCCCTTTCAGCCGGTAGCCCTGGATTTCCAATTTTACCTCCTTGCATAACCCTTGCTGCCGGAAACAAGTTCCGTTCCCTACCTGTATGCCATAACTGCCGGTGGTGGACAAAGGAATCCGCATCTCTTGCATGACCCTTGAGGAGAGGAAATTGTGCGAAGCTCCGCTGTCAATTAAAATCAATACCTCGCGATCGCCGAGGTTCCCCTTCAACTTCATGGTGTCAGAAGATGCAATTCCCATCATCGTGTTGAGGGAAAGTCCAGCCATTTCCCCTAATTCCTCGGCTGGCACTTCCTCGGCCCCTTTCGTGTTCTCTTATTCCTCCGTGTCGCCCTCCGATACCAACAACACCTGTAGCTAACGGTTCTTACACCGGTGACCGGGGTTGAACTTCTCGTCGCACCGGTAGCAGAGCCCCTTGGCTCGACGACGTTGATATTCCTTGTCCGTCATCCGCTTGAACCCAGTCCCTCCCTCGGCCAGCCCCGACTGTGGCGTGGACCAAAATCGAGTCCGTGGAGAGGGTGTAGACTCCTTACCTGGAATGGACTGAAGGGAGCTTCCGGAATAACTGGGCTGCCTATTGGGCCGCTCGCCTGGGCCCATTTCCTTTCCAACGCCTTCATTTCGCCATCCCCGGGCCGGTTTACCCCTCCTCAACCGATCGACTGCCTCATTCCTTTCTTCAATCTGTTGGGCCAAATCCATGACCTCCTGTAAGTTAATGGGCCGCAGTAATTTTACCTCAGCCCGCACGTCCTCTCGCAGGCCATTGAGGAAGGCTCCCCGAAAGATCGGTTCCGGTATTCCTCTCATCGACGCAGCCAGGGCCTCGAACCGGTCTCGAAACTCCGTTACGGTCCCTTCTTGCCGCAGAGCCATCAAGCGCTCCGTCGGGTCACCGTCCTTTGCGCGGCTGAAACGGTGGAGGATCACCGTCTTCAGATCGCGCCAGTCGGTGAAGGGGTGCTGCGAGTCCAGCCACTGGAACCACCCGAGGGCTCTTCCTTCCATGCACACGGCCGCCGCCATCACCCTTTCCTCCCCATCGACCCCGTTAATGGTGAAATAGCGCTCCGCCCGGAACACCCACCCATAGGGATCGTCCCCTTGGAAGATTGGCAGCTCCAGGCGTCTTCCTCGATGCTCCTGCCGTGCACGGCCTGGGTCCGGCGACGCGTTCTGCCTCCGTGGTTCCCTGTCGCGTCCCATCTCTCGACGTGGCGGAGCAGGCACCTGAGCCTCAAGGTGGCATCCCAACAGTGTTTCCAAGCGGTGGAGGGCCCCCTGTACGTCTCCTAGCTGGGTTCCCAGAACGTGAACATCCTCCTGCAACTGAGGAACGTGGTCCACCATAGCTCCCAGTATCTGAACCGTCTCTCTGACAGACTTGAGACCTCCCTCCAGGCTGGAGACTCGCTCGGTCGTGTTCGCTGTGGAAGTGTGCTGTGCCATGGATCGCGGCTCTGATACCAAATTGTTAGGATCCCGCCCTTAGCCTAATGTAAATGAACATATAGTAGGAAAAATGCACTGAATTATTATTATTAATGGAAGGAGTTGCCGGAAACAAAGGTGAGCTCGTCGGAGCTCACTGAAACAGTCAGAAAAGGAAATACAGAAGAATGAAGGATAGGGAGGGATTTTCGAGGAATCCCACAACCTCCTAACGGCCACACTAAGACAGACAATACAACACCCTCTTCCCCGTTTTCCCTCTGCCTACTAATACCCCACGGATTCTCTAACTAACTTCCCACGTCAGCTTCCCTCTCCCCAGCTAGAACCGATTCCCCAGATGGGCCTGTCTTGGGCCCCAACTCTTTACCTTCCATTCCAATTGGGCCGGAGTCTCCCACCAGACCACCCTTGGTCCTCCTGGTGTAGACCTTCTTCACCGGAGGCCTGACATAATAGCACAGGAAAAGAAAATACAAATAATAATGCACTGCTCATTATGAACCAATGAATCCAAATTTTCCATTTTCATTATTTTTGTTCCCCCTTTCTGTTGCAATATTTGTCAATATAAAAATCTAATAATAACTCTGTAGAAATAATCGAAATGAACCAATGAAAATAAAAGTAAAAATGATTCTCCTTGCAATCCATGGCTTAATTTCGGATTGGAGTTAGTGGATCAAGATTCAAGATTGGCAAAGTTGGCGAACGTTCACTGGTGAAATGCCATAAGAGTCTCCATCCAATAGACACTTTGCAATTATAACATTAGCTGCATCAGACGGATGGTATGCGTCCCAAAACACATATTTTGATCTGTCCAAACACACCTTTGATGGGGGCCCACATGGAATCAAACCTCCAAATCTCCCAGCACTGTAGCAGCATGCGGAATTTTGATTTTCAAAACCTGTCACAAAATGGTTTAAGACTCTTATCAATACTATATGTACAGTATACCGTTGGATTTTCATCAAGTTCTATTAAATTTGCATTTTTCTAATTTTAATATGATTCAGATGTGATGTGGCGAGTATCGACGAGTATTCACACCGTATGTTGTGTAGCTGTCAAGGATATCTTGGACAATGTTATAAACATCTGCATAAACAAACTTTGATCCCTCGAGAGTGGTGCTGAGTTCTGCAACAAGGCTCTTCAATTGGGTGTTGAATGACTTTGCTAGCTGATTTGGGAGTTCCACACAGCTGTCCCCAGCCGCAGGATTTGTATCTCTCTGATATGGTATACATCCAATGGGTCCCACATTCACCACAACAACCTTCCTAGCCCCCAGGTTGTAAAGCCTCTGCAGTACAACAGAATATAAAACCGATAACATAGACCACATAATATCAGTATCGTACTGTATTAACAGATCACATCAAAATCATATGGTAATAAAATGTATATTTATATATATAATTAATAGAGCTTGATTAAGTCGATAACATGACCACAATACCGATGAGATTCTTTTTTATACCGTATTAGAGATGGCCAGCATCTTATCGGTATTATACATCATATTAAAATCATATCAAAATAAATTTTAAGATCGTCAATAGAATCAAAATGCTTATAAGGATTTTTTTTTTTCCTTTTGTGCTTTATTAAAGAATTGTTTGCGGGGCGGGTTTTTTACGGTGAGTTGGAGCCGGTATCTTGAGATCATGGTTGCCACAAACTGTTCTGGAGAGACCAACTTTTGCACAGGAGCAGAGAGAACTGGTGTCAAGTAGTTATTGATGAAGTCATTAGAGCCCATTGTTACTGAGAAGAGAGACTTGCTAAACAGTTCCAAAGCTGATGAGAGACCAATGCTTGAGATTATGTCTTGCCTTGTGTTTGCAAAATTATCTATCTGGGCATCAAAGTTTATTCTACCTCCCTATAAATCACACAAAAGAATCTTGTAAAAACCCCATTAAATGATAGTATTATTACTTGAAAAAAAAAAATGAAGCAACTAATTTGTCTAAAATTGAACTCAGGACAAGTCTCACAAATATTTTTCCAGTGTGATTAAGAATTCCACCTCCACCAGAAGCATAATTGACACCTTTCAAAACAACTGATCCAGAAGTTGTTGGGGCCAAATAAGGAGGTGTGAAGTCCTCAAAACCCAAGTCTTGGCCTGTTTAACAAAGTCAAATATTAGCCGAAAGTTGTAAGAAGTTCTAAAGAATATGAAACTTAGCAAAAGAGAAAGAACTCGCCTATGATGTCAACTATGGTTCTTCCATTTGTGTATCGTCCCGTTGGCCCTCCGAAATCGATTCCATTCGGGACGTAATTAGCCTTGGAGAGGGATACTATGTAGTTGTTGTTACCAGCATCAACCAAAGAATCACCAAAGACAAAGTTAGCAGGAACACTTTGTCCCAAGCAGATTCCAGACAATGCGAAAAAACTTAAGATCACTACTTGGAAGGCCAATCTAAAAAAAATCTCTTCTCTACCCATTGAAAGTAGTTAAAAGACAAGCCTAATGATTTAGTAATGTAGAATCTTCAACACCTTTTTGATGTTTCTATGGAACCCCAGAAGGAGTAATGGAAAAGAAGAAACTTAACCAAAAATGGAGACCAAATATTGGTGGTTCTGTAAGTTTCTAAGAAAGTTCAAAATGCGATATAAAAGTTAATATTGAGCTATGACAGAAGATGAATTCTACACGCAAGCTAAAAGCTATATGAGACGAATAAAGTATAGACAAAGTCGAGTGTCTTTTGTGGAAAGCTAAAATCAACCATCAATATTGTCCCACAGAAGTAAACATTAGAAAGTAGAAAAGACCAATAAAAGTGTTCCAAAACTCTTCAGTTTCACCATATGAAGATGGAGACTAAAGCCAAAAAACACAACACATTTTATAAACCTCCAAAGGGCTACATTAATTGCCCTGCAAAATCAAGCACACGAAACCCATTAGAGAGTTGAATTTTAAGCTGTTAGAGTACGATCAATATTGTGGAATAAGAAAAGTAAATAAAAAAAATAAAAAACTGAAGAAAAACAAAACATGTAGAAATATGCTAAAACTTGTGTGTATGTTATTATATGCCAACTATGGAGATCCGTGTGAGTTGTTTGAGCAGTGGGGGCAGATTATTAATGCCTTGCAATAACAGAGAAAGCCCTAACCAATTAAGCCTTTTGTTTCAACGTTTTCAAAGAACAATTTGCAAAAACCACCATGTGGGGAATTTATTGCAGCCGCTAAAAGAAGAAACACCATCAGCCACTACTGTTTCCTAGTCTTTTCTCAAAATAGCAAACTTTTGCCAATAAAACAGTCCCAAGCTCGTTAGGGAAAAAGAAAAAGAAAGATAACATAAAAAATAAAAATAAAAAGTTTGCATTTATAACCATTGGTTATCTAATGAGATAGTAAGGCTATTCATGATTCTCCTCGATCAAGTTTAATGTTTGAATCAGTCTTACCGTTAGTTGGTAGGATATTACAGGGCCCGTTTAGTTCATTGATTTGAGTTTTTAATTTAAGTTGAGACGTAATTTTATGTGAGAACTTTTTACTGTAATAAAAAAGTCAGATGTGACTGTTTCTAAAAACTTTTTAAAGTATTTCTGTTCTCGTCGATAAGGTCTTGAGATCAAATCAATTAATTGTCACTATGAGTGGAATATATAGGCAGTCCACTTTATAAGTAAAATCATATATTGTGTGGGGACGCTTTGCCTCTCAAAATCATACATATAATAATGTTACTCTATTTTTATAACCCCGTCTTCTATATATATATATATATATATATATATTAAAAAAACCGCCTTGGAGGTAATAATATTTACTCATTGTTGGCGTGCAGGTCAGGAAAATAACAGGATAATGAGAACTAGACAGATGGGCATTCACAGCTGTGCCTAAACAGAGTAGTTACTGCAAGTTGCTTGGCCTCGGCCTAAATGTAAATAGATTTTGTCCCTGTTGAATTTTGTTGCACCTAGTTGTGGCAGCCCATATCTTGATCTTTATTGTACTTGGTTGACTTGATTCATCATGAGGTTGATATATATATATATATATATAATACACCAATATGTGTATATCACCAATATGTGTATATATGCGTGTAACACATTGTAGTCTCAGCTTTTACATATCCAAAAATGGTTATTTGTGCAATTCTTGCAATTGTAGCAAGTGAGCTGCGAGCATTTCACATTCATTATGGTATCCTAATTTACATATATATAAAAAAATGGGGTGATTTTGTTTTTGGAGTATATGTACATTTTTAAGAGGACATTCTTATACTTAATATTAGGAGAGAAAGGGGTAGACTAAGAATTACGTAGATCGAAGTCGTTAGGAAATACATTCTAAATCTCGACTTTCAGGAAAGTTTAATTTCAAACAGAATTGTGTAAAAAAATGAAATCTATATAACCAACCTTAATTAGTTGGGATTAAAACTTGTTGTTGTTGTTGTGACATGTGTAAGAAAAAATTAGAGTAGGCTGATAGGATGGAGACTGGTTGATAGAATAAGAGTAATGAAAAGTTGGTTGCTTTTCTGGATGGTTGATGCCAAGTACAGAAGACTGATCAAAACAGATGGACAAATAGCTTGAGTTATTTTTTTATATTTTTTTATTTTTCATATTTAAGGTTGATTATTTTGCCATTTGATCATCATAAGAGAATTGTGAATAGCTAGTTTAGTTACAGCTCTAGCTAGCTGGGCCTAAGAGATATCCTAGTCTGATTCATATAATCAGATTTGTTCAGCCTTTGTATTCAATTCTTTGATTTGTCTAAATGTTTTTTTTTTTTTTTGAAAATTCCTTTAGTTTTTATATAAATCAAAGGAAATTTTATTTTTTTATTTTTGGGAAATCTCAGTTGAGAAGCCTGACATTCCAACTCAAAGAAGTTCAAACTTTTATATTCTCAACTTTTCATTTTTAACCTTTATGTGGTTCATATACAATATCCGTGAGATAAAAATGATCCGTAATTACAAATTTGTTACAAAAAATCAAAGGGACAGATTAAAAGATTGCATGCAGGACTTGTCCAAGATTCAACATGGACATATAAGCCAAGTCAAACTCTGTCGGTCCATTATTTATATTTGTTGCTGCAGCAATAAATTTGTAGCTTTTCTTCCTTAGCTGTTCAGAAATATTCAGTTGTTCCCAAGTCACTGAAACAATAGTTTAGTAAAAAAATAAAAATAAAAAATTGAAAAAAAAACATTATAAAACTTGAGGCCTAAATTCAACTATCCCTACCTCATTTTATTAAAAAAAAAAAAAAAAAAAAGAAAAGAAAGAAGAAGAAGAAGAAGAAGAGTAAAAAGTAATATACTATTGATGTTTGAATTTTTTTGACTATTGATGTTTGAATTTTTTTGACTGAGAAGTGGGCTTGGCCAACTTGTGTTAGCAAAGTTTAACCAAACGGTAATCTTAATAAATACTTCTTAAAATATATGGGTCAAAATTTTTATTATTTTATTCTTGATTAATAACATTTTTAGTTAAATAATTATATTAATAAAAGAGTATTTATCAAAATAAACAGACTCATGGTAAATTTTGTATATCCACCTCATAAACCTATGTGCCCTCTTCCTAAACTTTCTTAAGGCCCAGTTCTAGGCCCAACTTAGAAGGCCACCAAAACTCATATATTCATCATGATGCAGAAACCCAAGAATATGGACATGCCCATTGCTTAATCACTAGTTTCTAGCCCCAGAGTCTAAATAAGTATAGAAACAAATGATATAAATAGTCAAACCGCATTAATATATATTAACACAACTGTCATCATTTGGATTTTGGAATTTGACTCGGACGTGGATAATTCATCTATAGACTACAATAAATTCAATCCTAAGCTTACAAGACAAAGTACTACAAAGTCACCATGACATTATTACAAACACCAATATCACTCTAATACATACGACAAACTACTTCAACCATTGATTTCGAATCGCAAAATTCCTTGTTGACCCTGTCTTTGTTAAAGTATAAAACTATTATTGGCCCACCTCCTAACAGCTTAAGTTTTTTAGATGAATTGGTAAACTAATAATCTTCGATGACACATTGTCATCGCTCGGATCAACAAGGATTGACGCATCACAACCCTGCATTTGCGAAGAACAATAGATAAGCTTAAATATTTGATCAGTTATTCTTTGGTATGGTTAGAGATGACCTATAGTACATGTATAAGTAATGTAGCTATTCATAACACAGACAAAACGATAATAGAATACGTATTAAGACAAACGACAGATTAATAATAAAATAAAGTCAAATTAACAAACTAAAACAAATGATACTGAAGACATAAAAACGACCACTTAGGACTAAATCTCTCTATATCATTGAGTATATTATGCCATGCATAATCATGTCCTAAACTCAGAAGATTATGAGAGAGAGAGAGAGAGAGAGAGAGAGAGAGAGAGAGAGAGAGAGAGAGAGAGGATTATGAGAGAGAGAGAGAGAGAGAGAGAGAGAGAGAGAGAGAGAGAGAGAGAGAGAGAGAGAGAGAGAGAGAGAGAGAGAGAGAGAGAGAGAGAGACCTGAACTTGGCAATCATGGAACATGAGCCTCAAGAGAGCAGCAGGTGAAGTGAAATCAGTGGAGAAAATTGGTTGAAGGCCAGCTCTAATGATATTCTCAAGTTGTGGGCATGATTTCTCATAGGAATCATAAGAAAGTCCTTTTCCTTCAACCCCATACTTGAAAACATGAGCAATATTATTTAGACATATCCATACAGTTACTACAACACTTCCCAGATGATCCATAATTTTGTCTTCAAAGTTTTTTAATTATCCTATTGAGAACTAATTAAATGCAGTAGTACTAGTAGGAGTTGAAAAAACAGAAGCACAAATGAAAAAAGCTGCTCGAATTATACATTGGCAATTGGCTCCACAATCTTAATACAATTATCAAACTGATATGACTTTTGCCTAAGTCTTTAATACTTTTATTAATCATGATCGTTTACAGTAAGAGGAATAAGGAATTATCTAGCTAGGCTGCTAATTCTTTGCCGTATATGCATATCAGAAAGAATAATTCTAGGGCTTGTCATACCTCAAGCTAAAAGATATGAAGTTCTGTAAAGCATATTGTCATTTTTCTCGTTAGACAGCTCATAAATTTTATTAATTTAAAAAAATATTTGATCTTTATATTAGAACCCAAAATGTCTATGTTTATGATTATATATGAGAGAGTTATACATGTCATAAGATTTTACATGCATGACATGATGGCATATATATGCTGACGAATTTATTACCCTCCAAATATTTTGTGTTGTCATAATGTGCAATGATTTTCTTCCCTAGCTAGGCCAGAAGATTTTACATGAAAATATAGTGCCCGAATTCAAAAATTGTTACTAAAAAGCGAATGATTCTCTTCTTATGTTCAAATTTGAAATTTTACGCTTGATCTCATTTAATTGCATATTTATAACTGGATTTTGATTTCATTGTTCCCTGACCCTGGAAATTTCTTTACATAAAAAGTGGCACCCAAAAGAAAACAAAACCCAAATAGTGTTATCAGTGTGTTTTAATTTTGATTGTGACTTGCAACAACCCAAATAGTAATATTGAATTATAACACCCTTCACATGTTTATCTGTACCCTTCATTAATATCGAAAATACCATTACAAAGAATCGTTCAAACTTCCAACTCAGCATTTCCATGTTCTCTTTAAGTTTGAGTGCTTCACAACTATATTCTCATGAATAGACGTTTACTTCATGAATTAGAATCATATGACGAACTATAAATCATGATTCGAATAAGGAAACGAATCTGGGGATGTTTGGTTGGAGGATTTAAACCATGATTTGAATCATGGTTTATAATTCGTTACAGTATTTTCTCTCACAAAAAATACACGTAAATCAAAAATAATTTTAATCACATGATTCTAATTCATGAACCAAACGTCTCTAAGTACCAAACATCCCCTTAATAAAAGCAATTTTGGCTTTTAAGACGGTATTTCCAACAAGTCGATGAACATTTTTATGTAAAATTAAACATTAGTAATTTTCTCCTCTTCTTCTTTTTTTTTTTTTTGATATTTTCAAACTTCATAGGTGCTTCATATATATATATATATATATATATAGGTGCTAAATTAAAAAGGTTTATATTTGAAAACCGTGGCAGAACCAACCAAATTGTTTTCAAAGAGTAGATCCGAGGACCTATTGATTCTATGCAAACCGATCGACCACTATCTAAGATAAGTAGTTCGTGGCCCCACTTGAGATCTTGAAGTTTCATTTTCGGAATGTAAATTTTTGAATAATTTTAACCGGATTTATTAATGAAAATACTTGTGTCCCCGCTCAGCAAAAACATTATATGTGTGCCTCAATTTAATTAGTTTTTCATTAATATCAAAATGAATTGTGATAAATTTTTCATTTAGGTAAAAAAAAAAAAAAAGTAAAATGGTATAAAAAAAAAAAAAAAACCAATAGCAAGATCATAAATAGCAAAAGCAAAATGGGGTTCCTAAAACTATGTTTTTATTTCAAGGTCTCATTATTGAATCTTAACAAAAATAAGCTAAAAATCAACCAGCATATATAAACCACACAAGGATTTGTTGGAGGCCCTCCAAAAATAGAGATGATCTTCCTAACCAACTTTCATGCCTTCAATTCAGCAACACTAAATTTTACCTTCCAAACAACCACAAAAAAAAAAAGAAAAAAAAAAACTAAGACAGACCCTTTTCAATTAAGAACTATCAAAATGGCTTTACCATAATTTAATCACGTTAAAACTTAAAACTTTCTCCCAGATTCTAGCCCTCAAAAATAAAAATAAAAAGCATGTGTTCCTTGATCAAGGCAATTCATTTGTCATTGGCAATAAGTTTTGCCATCTCAATCTCCTTGCCAAATATTGTCCATGGCTTGGAAGCCAAAGCTGTGATTGACTCTCCTCTATTGACCGAAAAAATCGGCACCAACCGGACAATTAAGGTCGATATCAATGGTAACGGGGAATTCAAATCCATCCAAGCTGCAATAGATTCTGTTCATGAAGAAAATTCTCAGTGGATCGTCATCCATGTTAGGAAAGGCATATACAGGTATATAATTTCTCTTTTTCTCTTTTTTATAATGATATAATCCATTATTTAAAAAAAAACCTAATATAGAAATGACAAGAAGTACATTTTTTTTTTTTTGGTGGTGGTAGAGAGAAGGTGCATATCCCAGAGAACAAACCATATATATTTTTGAGAGGGAATGGCAAAGGAAGGACTTACATTGTGTGGTCACAAAGCTCAAGTGACAATGTGGGATCTGCAACGTTCAAGGTGGAATCTCCCAACTTCATTGCCTTTGGAGTTAGCTTCAAGGTTTGTTCATTCTTCTCTTTTTTTTTTCTTTTTTTTTTTCTCATACTAGAACATTCTAAATTGTTTCATAATTCCCACAAAAAAACATAGAAAATAACCATATTTAGGTTGATTAAGGTTAGAAATCAAGAATCTTTATATGCCTTGGCTATGTTTATTTTTCAGAGAGTTTAAGAATAATATACTAATAATTGGCATGAAAATGCAACAATGGATTTATTTGAAATGCACGTGACAATTGATTTGTCATACAATAATTGGTAAATGACGTTTAAATAACGTATATGACTGAAAATTAATAATTCAACTGTCATATTGAGTATTTGTGAGAATTTGACAAACAAGTGATCGGTGAGCAATACTATTTGGCATGATCAGGGGTGTCAAACACCACAAACTAATAATAGGTACGTCTTACATGAATAGTACACGTATAAGACTTACCTCTTTACGAGTGGTACGAGGAACAGTCGATCATCTATTTACAAATCAATACCTACGTACGCAATTACTCAAAATTCGAAGCCTCAAATAAAAGTGAGTAAATATTTCGTAGTAGCCTCATTAGACCGTACATCTTCCTTGGTATATCCAGATAATAGGTAGGAGCATAAACTGAAACATTCTGGAGCTACAAAAATAGTTAATAAATCGTTAACACCGCATAAAAATATTCCTCCTAGAGTAGCTGTTAATACGAATAACAGAAACTCTGTTATAGTCATTTATGTACATTCAATGCACTCTACGGATAGAGGAATACATAAAGTTGAACATAGTAAAATAAGAAATTGAAAGATTTTGTTGAAATTGTTCGTTTGGAAATTTCCTAAAAGCTCATGATTATCATCTTCAATGTGTATATATGTGCAGAATGAAGCGCCAACTGGGGTGGCATATACATCTCAAAATCAGTCAGTGGCAGCATTTGTGGCAGCGGACGGCGTTGCATTTTACCATTGTGCATTCTACAGCACTCACAACACTCTCTTTGATTACAAAGGAAGGCATTACTACGACAATTGCTACATCCAAGGCTCTGTTGACTTCATCTTTGGTCGTGCTAGATCTATCTTCCATGTAACTTACTCCACTTCTTTTTTTCTTTTTTTTTTTCCTTTGCCTAATCTTGTTCTATCTAAGAATGTCTCTGATGCAATCTTGATTTTGTTTTTTTAATAACTAATAATACCAAAATTTGATATTCAAGTTAAAAGGAAAAAAAAAATCACTCTTCAACTCCGCCGCAACGCCATACTTGGTATGCATTTTTGCAACGAGTATAATATATACTAAATATTTGGTTACTTAATTATTAGTCAGTCTATTGATTTTTTCGGTTAATAATTACAAATTACAGTATTGTCGTGCTTAAAAATTGTCTTTCATAAAATAGCATTATGTCTATTATTGAAGCACATAAGCATAGAATAATATGTCAAATATATCATTTTCACACCTTTATGTATTTAAATATAGATTTTGATATCATCAAAGATGATCTTAGTTATAGGTGATTGTCATATTCAAATCAAATTATTAACTTTGTGATTACAAATCTTTGGGATGGCAGAGCTGTGAGATATTTGTGGTATCAGACAAGAGGTTATCAATTAGTGGGTCCATCACAGCCCATAATAGGGAGAGCTCAGCAGATGAGGGTGGGTTTGTTTTTGTCAAAGGCAAGGTTTATGGAACTGATGATGTCTACTTGGGAAGAGCCAAAGGTCCCTATTCAAGGACTGTTTTTGCCAAGACGTATCTCTCCAAGACTATTGTCCCACATGGCTGGACCAACTGGAGCTGTGAGGGCAGCACAGAGTAAGACACACTTCTTATTCAATTTAGCGCGTTAGCACAATCACATGACAAAATATTTAACAAATTATATACCCTTTTGCATATAGTGTTTATATATCCAAATAATGTACTATATAATTGTCAGTAAAGTGTTTAGAAGGTGGGCCTCATCAATAGGCTCTTCAACATTATCGCACGTAATAAAATGTAGGAATTGAATCGAGTAGCATAATCCTCGTTTGTATTGTATGTTCAAGTGGCTAAAAGGTCATGTTATTTTTGTGGGAAAAACAGAAATTTGTTCCAGGCAGAGTACAAGACGCACGGGCCGGGGTCGAAGTCCGACAAGCGTGCGTCGTGGTCGAAGCAGCTGACGAAGGAAGAGGTTGCCCCATTCGTCTCCATTGATTTCATTGATGGCAAGCAATGGCTTCCAGTTTGGCTTGAAGACGCTCTTGATTCATAAAGGAAAAAGTCATAGGGCAAAAAAGCAGAGGACTGTACTTTACGTAAAACATTTATAGTTCTGACGTGCATTTCCATTATGGGTTGTTATTTACCAAGTTTTCGGTTGTTTGCTAATTTGTGCACTATATGTATGATATATTTACTTAAATATGCTTAATTAGGTTAAGTGAAAAGTTTAAATTGGATGGCGGATTTGAGTTACCAAACTCGTGTTCATTCAATTGTTAGTATGAGCGTAATATATATTTTCATAAACTATAAAGTGACTAGAATATTTGGTTTCCGCGAGCTTATAAAATACTGATAATTATCTTTTTTTTTTTTTAACCAATTATAAGTTCATATGTAAATGTTGACTTCACGATTCATTATTATGACACAAGTCCATCTCTTATGAGAGGATCAAAGTATAGTCACCACTGATGATAATTGATTAGTATTTTCATTTTGTTTTTTTATGCATGGAAGAAGAAATTGAAAAGATCTTCGTTTAATTCAGGGGAAAAAATGGCTCATCGTTTATTTTAGTAAGTGAAGTGCATGGACAAGAGGGTAAATAGGGAATTCATGACATTGCATTTTTTCAGCTGCATTACATAACATATGGTATATATATTACTTTCTATAATAGCCGGCTAAACTTTTGGAATTAGAATCCTCCACCACCGGCACCTCCACCAAAACCACCCCCTCCACCAGCACCACCGCCAGCTCCTCCTCCGATGCCTCCACCGCCACCTTTCCCGCCTCCAAAGCCTCCACCAACACCGCCACCGCTTCCTCCCCCTGCACCGCCGCCAAAACCTCCTCCGGCACCGCCGCCGGCACCACCACCACCACCAACTCCTCCTCCAAAACCACCGCCTTTGCCGCCTCCAAAGCCTCCACCTGCTCCACCACCAGCACCACCTCCACCACCAACTCCTCCGCCAAAACCTCCGCCTTTGCCGCCTCCGAAGCCGCCACCTGCTCCACCACCAGCACCGCCGCCTGCTCCACCACCAGCACCGCCGCCTGCGCCGCCACCAATTCCACCACCTTTACCGCCTCCAAACCCACCGCCAGCACCACCACCTGCTCCACCACCACCACCTACTCCACCTCCTACACCGCCACCTTTTCCACCTCCAAAGCCACCGCCAGCACCGCCACCTGCTCCACCACCAGCACCGCCGCCACCACCAACTCCACCTCCTACACCGCCACCTTTTCCACCTCCAAAGCCACCGCCAGCACCGCCACCTGCTCCACCTCCAGCACCGCCGCCACCACCAACTCCACCTCCTACACCGCCACCGCCCCCTGCGCCACCTCCGAGACCACCACCAGCACCACCGCCACCTCCAAGACCGCCCCCAGCGCCACCACCTCCTCCAAGTCCTACACCGCCACCATGACCCCCTCCAAAGCCACCACCAAGACCGCTACCGCCGCCGGCTCCACCACCAACGCCGCCACCCCCTCCGGCGCCACCACCAAACCCGCCTCCAAGCCCACCATCAGAAAACGTTTCCTTCTCAAGCCTCCGACATTGGGCCACCCCAATCACCAACGTCACAAACAACATAAAAGCAAGCAACACCCCCGCATTTCTAGAAAAAGACAGCCTCCCCATGTCTTTCCCCTTCACACTCGAAACAAACAAACAAAAAAAACAAGAAAAAAAGAAAACAAGTGCAGTATTGTGTATTAACTTCAATATGAGGTTGAGAGAGCCATGGCCAAAACCACATTATATTTATAGTACACGTAAAAGGGGACACATAAATGCATGCAGTTGAGAATGCATTGCAATAGGGGTACGTGCATGATATAACTTTTTTTTTCTAAGGGCAAAACCAGGGACTAATTAGTCATGACATGGGCACAAAATTCAACTCGTTTTGAAAATGGAACGCCAAATTGGAAGTAATTAATGATCATGATATCATAAATGTGGCCTTCCCAGCTGCTCAACCACTCCGAAAGTACAATCCACGATCGACATTATTAGTAACATGACCTTGCCCCTTGGCTAATCCCATAATTAGTCTTCCACCGTCACAATTACTACTGTGATCCAATCCGGATTCGCAGCTGATCATTTGCGTGTATGGAAAGTGGCTAAATATTATAATTCACAAAGATTTTGTCTTGAAAAATAGTTATATGTCCAGATGGATACGGCTCGTTCTGATGTAGATTTATGAGGTATTTGCATAAATGGCTACAATCTTAGACAATTTTGAGAACATGTCGTAATTTTGTTTTCTCTTGATTTGTGTTTATTTTTCGGTTTTGTCGGTTTATGATCGTACAAAACTAACTATATATTACATATTCATGACTCAAGTAAATTACAACTTTACTCAATTTTCGATATGTGTGTGTCCAAAACGGGCGCTAAATATCGTTTCCTTGGAAGTTTTTGGAAAACTCTGAAGGCCACAAGCTATGTTATGGGTGAAAATATTATCGACCACTCAAAAAACAATTGCCCCCATATATTTACTAAGCATGTTTCTTTGCTGTTTTCCCTTCACAGAAACGAGTTCCTTAATTTTATTTCGCCGGGGAGGGCAAATTTTTTACATATAACATAATCTTACTTATCGAGTAGGGCAAAAAACTAATACTAATAATTTACACATAGCAAAATTTAAACTCATTATGATAATTAATTACCGTGTGTAGAATAAAACGTGATAATCACACTATAATCATTGCGTAACTAACATCGCCCAAGCGTATCATCCGATTTGAATACGAAGGAAGGAATTCAATGTGAGACGGCACTGTCTTGTGCAACGCAGTGATAATTGACCTTCTTATCATTCATAAAATATTTTTTTAAATGCTATATTTTAATACCACTCTTGTAAAAATGTAGTGTAGTGTCTTTTATTATTATTATTATTTTAAAGGAGAAAAAAGACAGATACTTTTAAAAGTGCATGAATTAGGATTTATGTCCCTTATTCTTACTTAATAATATTTTTAGTTAAATAATTATACTGGTAAAAAGATATTAGTTAAAAATGAGGAGCGTGAAATCCAGACGCATGCACCTTTAAGAGCCCGTTTGGTTAGAAGATTCGTTCTCTGATTCGAATCATAGTTCATGGTTTGTTACAGTATATTTTCTCATAAAAAATACACGTAAATCAAAAATAATTATAATCTCATAGTTCTAACCAAAATGAACTCTAATTCTCTTTATTTTTTAAAATAATTTACTTAAATTTAGGCCGTATGAAATCAGCCCAATCAGCAAACCGGGGCTTACTGTGTAATTCTATTGGGCTCATCACATGCAGTCGGGCCCATATATGGGCCTTCAAACTCAGCGCAGATCAATTCTCGAGTAATCTTGACAAATAGTTCAAGCGTTTACCATTGATTCGTAACCTTTTTATATAAAATTTTTCCCTTTTTTTCATTCCCTGCTCCAGTAGAGTCTAGGGCTTCCTCACTCTAGAGTTGATCATTGTCTTCTTCAACCTCAGAACTCTGCGAGAGAAACAAACAAAAAGAGAGAGAAAAGCAGATCGAGATTCGAAAATGGAAGGAGGAGGAAGTGGAGCAGGAGAAGAAGGAGGGATTGAGAGAGTGGTGGACTCGAAGGACCTTCAGCAGCAGAGCAAAGCCTTCGACAAGCTCACCGACCGCGTCGAGGATCGTCAGCTCGATTCCACTCGCGTCCAAGAGGTTTATCAACAACACTCTTTTTCTATTTCGAATTAATCGGATTTTGATTTTGATTTTTTTTTTTTTTGGTTTTTCTCTTGTGGTCAGGCCATGGCGTCCATTGCTGCTTCTGCTGAAGGTGACTGGAATGCCATGAGGCTCAGGTTCGATCTTTTTTAACTGTTTTTTGTTCAGCTCAATTTCTTTTAGTGTTTCGCCATGGATTTTTTCCCGAATTTCTTGATGATTACATTTCTTCTTTGAAATCGATTCCTTTTTTTTTTTTTGGCTGCTAATTTGATTATTACTATCTTAGAGACGAAATTAAGATGAAATTTGTGTTTTTTTTCGTTCTGTTTTTTTTTTTTTTTTTCTCCAAGGAAAAAAAAAAGTTTGTAACTTTATTCGTTAAGTTAGGTAATCAGAATTAGGATTTCTTATCTACGGAAGTCCATACTGTGATTCATGTTTTGGGTTTATCATGTGGATAATACCTTTCTTGGGAATGTTTATAGTTTGTTTTCCTTATGAAAACTAATAAGAGAATCCAAATTTACCTAGCAGTACTAGGCAAATCTACTGTATTTTCTATCAAGATTTTGACTTTTAGTTTTAATGAACACAAATTATAGAAGACAGATTATTATCTTTATTTTATTTAGTGGGTTTTCATGAATTACTTATTAAGAGTTTTAGACTCACATTTATGATGTCACGTGGATGCTTTAGAATGTCATGAAGTTATCCTTAAATTTCTAGCATTCCCATGCATAATTGAAACGCTTGGATTTGTTCTTCCTGAGATATTACCGTCTGTCTAGCACTCTGATCTATAATTGCCTTTCCGTATCAAAATTGAATATTTGTTTTCTTCACATCTGAAAGTGGGTAATTTTTGTCTTTATTTCTAGTCTCTCACTCCGTCTCTAGTTTCCCCCATCTTTTTTGTTCTCTCTCTTATGGGGTTTGTCATTACGGCATGAATTCTCTAGGCCTAGTAATGACCAACCATTAGGCTTAGTTCTAACAATTTCCATCTTGTGGTGACTACTTGATAATACTATTCTTTATAAGTTAATTTTGGTTTTTCTTTTTCTAAACGAGATTCCTTCTTACACTTGGTTTATTTTTGTATTGTATTGTTTTGAGGAAGTTTTTAACCAAATAATGTGGCAAGTGAAAGAGTTTCCAATTAACAAATCTATTCGCAGAGGGTTGTAATTTACCTATAAAAAATCCTTAACTCATTTCCCTGGTCATTTAGTACAAAAAGGTTGATAGATAATCTGGGATCACTAGCATGACTCCTATTTTTATAGACAAAGTTGTTTGGTTCTCTAACCATAGAGTTGCCTTTCAGGGAAAAGGAGTTGGCTGCTGTCAAGATCAATGCAGCTGATGTGGACATCATTGCAAATGAACTAGAGGTTAGTTTCTTTCTATCCTTCCATGTCGTACATAGGCATTCTATCGTCTATGAAGAATAATAAAGGGTGTCAATAGAGCTTGGCACTACTACAACACTCGCGACATGCGCATGTGGGACTGTATGAGATTTACCTTATGTGAGTTGTGGACTAGTGCTGGGTACTATTGGTGTCCAATTGCGCTGCTGCTCGTGTAGTTGTACCGTGATGCCTCTTCTAAACTCTTTTTTTTCGTAATTGGTATAACAGTTGGACAAAAAAGTTGCTGAGAGAACGCTACGGGAACACAAAGGGGATGCTGTCGCTGCTATTAGACACTTGCTTCACTAGCAAGAACGCCTTTGCTTTCTCTTTTGTTACCAGGCATTACAAATGATCACACCTAATTGTTCACTAGAAATTATCTGTGGATTAGTGGCTCTTTGTTTCATTAAAAAACTTAGTTTGCATTTATGCCAGTTGACTCAATTAAGTTTTTGTAACAGTATTTGTTTTTTTTTGGTTGTTTCTGATGAGTGTATATTATCAAAATTCTTCGAATATGCATTGTTTATTTACTTGCAAGTTAAGCATTAATGCTAATATAAGAATCAAGAACCGCGACTGTATTAGGACGATAATTAACACATTCAAAGGCCTTGTTTGTTTCGCTTGTTCGATGTGAAAACTTGCGTTAAAATGTGAATTCATGTGAGAGAAAACACTAGCAGAAAAAGTTAAATTTGAGTTTTTGTGAGAGAAAACAGTGTAGTAAAAATTTGAGTCATGATTTGAACTATTGGATAAACGGGACTAAAGACTTGATATTGCCAATTGAGACCTACTCAATTGGTGTTTAATGAGTGTGTGATATGCTTTCAATTGAGTTCTAAGTTCAAATCTCGGGACAATTATTCAAAGATTTGATACTTGATAAGATTTAGTGCAACAAATTGAATAAAAGAAATACTCCAATTAATTCCATCAAGGACTTCACAATCACCACTTCATTTTTGATACAAGGGAGGGGAGAATGTTACCGCTTAGAGTTTACAACTAACTAGGCTGTTCTCACCCTCAGGACTTCACCACTTCATAACCTTATATTAAGATCGTCTGCTACATTTTCTTTTCTTTCTCTGTACAACTTTTTTTTTTTTTAACCAAGTGGTCCCGACAAATACTCACCAATACAACATCAAATGTGACGCGATCCAAGAGACATAAATTCCCAATCGCAGAACATCAATGACCAACTTTGAAAGAATTTTTGGGACAATGGTGCTTCAGCTGGATATCTCCCAAAAACGGATACTTCAGCGGGCAGTGATGCGCAATGAAGCAGAGAGAACCCCAAAATCACAAAAACAAAATGCTGAGGTGAATCTGCATTCACAGGCAGCGGAGCTCGCTGCTTGTCTCTAAAATCCCCTCTAGAGCGCCCTGAGCCTTGTCAGTAGCTCTTGGAACGTCGGGTCGGGTGGCGTGCTGAATCACTGGTTTAATGCCATTTTATCTATTGGAATTCATAAGACAGTGTGGTGTTTAAAGAAAAATACATTTACTACTATTGTACAAGTTCATCCTGGACTTGAAAGATAAGAGAGGAAGAGAGGTTAATACCTATGCCAACAGCTCTCAATTATAGAAGCCAACTGAGGATCCACATCTTTTGGAATCTCCAGTTTTTGGTTCATGACCCCACAGCACCAATTACCTGCAAGTATCCGAAACAGATTGATGTTCAAGCCTGAAGTCCACTCGGAGTGGTTGACACTTATTCTACTTTTTCCCGGCAACGCGGGTAGTATCTACTTTTGAACGAAAATGAAGCAACTCATGTGATAGCTAACAAGCTACTGAATCTTATACAATTTAGTTCGACAGAAAAGTACCTGTATCGCGTCGAGATTATCCCAAGGAATCTTCTCCGTAGCGACCTCTCACAGTATCACTCCGAAGCTGTATACGTCAGACCTAAATGTTTCCAGCAGAAACAAAAATATTAAGTTTACCCCCAGGTTAACAAGGGAAATACAAGCTGAAGTAGAGATTCGCGTTATCCTTGACCACGATAAGAACATACTTTTCATCTGGGGGTGAGTACTCTACATTTAGGAAAAAAGAAAAATGGTGACGTAAAGATCACGACGTGAGAACTTTAACTTCTGAGAGGCCGCATCGGAGGAATAGGAAGGGGACATCAAGTTTCGTGCTTAAGACGTGAAAGACTAAAATTGCCGACCAGTTCAGATGAAAAATTAATGAGCTTTGAGTTCCCTAAAGAAAGTATAAATCAAATAACTAGATGTTTACGTAAAGAAAAGAGGGAAGCATACTTTGACAGTCCAATTCTTATCAACAAGATGGATGACGGGTGGGTTACAATGATGAAGATAATCGACACCCCGTGCCTGCGGAGATTAGAAATCGCGATTAATGCGTGGACACATATTCTAAGGGATGTGATAATACAGTTTGTGACTGCATAAATAAGTTGCTTAAAGCAAAGCTGAATGAACGAAAATAGCAACAAGTTGAAATGCTTAATTGACACAAGAGACATTCATGACACTCACAATATCCCGGGCCATATAAACCCGCCTTCTCCAATCTAATTTTATTGTGCTGTTATGTAGCAAGCGAAACAAACTTCCACTGCACTATAAACGTATTAATATAAGCAAAGAACACTATTAAACATTTATGAATTTGTCTTCTTTAGCAGGAAAAAAAAAAAAAGCTCTTTGAATTTGTCTGAGATACAGGAAAAATGGCTAAAGTAAAGAATGATAGTGTTAAGAGTAAACAAAATGGAAGTTTAGACGCACCGTGGATGGTACTCTGTCACAATATTGCAAAGACGTTGAGGTGAAGTCACAGCTCCCATAAAGAGCAGTACATTTGGATGCCGAAGTGGGTTCAGATGACAAAAAGGATAAATTTTACTTTTACCACAGAACTTTAGTTGTTCTATAATTTGCTTCCTGAACTTTAAAAAACTGGCCTAGACGCCCTTCAAACTTTAAACTATTATTACTTTTGCTCCTTCTGTTAAACACTGTCAACTGATGCCAATGTGCACCTAAATTTAGTAAGGATAAAGTTCAGGGGTGGGTTTTTTTGTTGTTTTAAAGTTTAAGGGGCAAGATGACATAGTTACTAAAGTTTGGGGAGCAAAAATAAAACTTATCCTAACAAAAATGGTACGGCAGTATTGGTACTATAGAAGCATAAGCTTTTGGTAATTCTTGGTCTCTGCTACATATGATCATACCCTCTCAAAGTTTGCAACTAAAAGTAAACTAGAAGTCATTGTGTAGTTACAAGAACTCTTGTTCAACATGAATGAAGGTCTAACAAGAGCCTCAACTTTCAATTTTGCAACTTAAATCGGTTTTACACAATTAAAAGCAAAGAACTAGGAAGCGCATAGCTCTAGTCTGAAGGAAAGTATCACGTCATCCGATTATTCTTGCTCGGAGAATGCCTTGACAGCAACATCCTGCCACATTTCACTACTATTCAACCCCACCTTAAGATTACAAAGACAGTATCTTTTGATCTTTTTGCCACTTCCATCTAAGCTAGAGACAGTTGAAAGGAAAAAAAAAAAAAACTTTTAACAGGGTTAGAGCAAAAGAACGTCCTGAGTCGAACCACACGCCGTGATACACAGCTCCACATGAACCTGCAGGGGATAGAAAACTGCAATTATGTGCATATGAAATGTTATATGAACTATGCAAAGAAGCAGCATATAAAATTTATACAGTAATTTAACCAAATTGAGCAATGTTTCGAAAAATGCCTTGCCTTGTCCAATCTCTTCTCCAATTGTCAAGTCCTCCCATAATATTTCGTAATCCAGACAGTCCGTGTCCATAAAAGATTGAAATTCATCTTTAGACGATGTGTTATCCAACTTTTTTAGAATGTCTTCCACAATTTCCTCAACTACTTTCGACTCGGATCTAGCGAGCAAAAAAAAAAAAAAATGTTAAACACTAAGGGCCCTTTTGGCGCGACTCGTTTCGGTACTGAATGATCAGCTTCAGGTTTCTAACTAATAGACTTCAAAATAAAATATCTTTTATGGAAATGGCTTATCCGTTAAACTAGCAAAATAGCGGAGAATACAACGCAATAATAAATCGCAAATATGGATAACATAGAACAACGAATGTTTTCGACCAACAAAAGAGAAAAAAAAAAATCAAGCAACCAAAAGGCTCCAAGCTTGTGGTTGCTTCTTCTTGCATGGTTTCTATGACGCATAACTAAAAGAGAGAGAAAAAAATTTAGGCAGATGATAATATAACCATAAGAGATTGTAGAGACTAAGGGAGAGATTGCAGCATACCTTGTGACAGGTATATCCCATCCACATATATTGCCCGCTTCATTCAAACTTCAAAGCATTTCTCCACATTTGAACCTTTTCATCCTCAAAACGCTTTTTTTTTTTTTCGTGTTTGGCAAATGCAACCTCATAGCTGCTTCGTTCTTATCGAATATCCGACGGGTCTACATGGTAAAAGACAGGAAGAACGAGCTGCTTGTTCATCGTTTTGCACCGGAGAATATGAGCGAGTTCAGTTGAACACCATGAGGAAGAAGCATAATTCTGGGAGAAAATGACCACAGAATTCTTTTGACTCCTCGATTGCTTTCGAAAGCGAAGATGAAAGTTCATCTCCTTTCTCCTTTCTCAAGATGAAAGCAGTATACAAATGGCCGGTGAAGTTGTTACGAGTGTCCTGACCCTCTGAAACTTATAAAAACACCATATATCTTTATCGGAGCACAACAAGATGCAGCCATAACTAGAGCAAAAGATGACCTGATTCGGAGACTAAGCTCTCTGCAGATTAATCAACTACATAGTTCTAACTTCTAACTATAGGTTGATATTAGTCCTGGACGAGACTCGATGTCGTGTATTATGTATGTATAAATTATAATTGTGTGTATATAATATATATATATATATATATATATACGTGTGTTTGTGTGTTTAGTTTTCATCGAGTGATTGAAGTTTTTCCCACACCATACTTCTTAAAAGTTTCCATGGAAGGTGAACGGAAAAAGATCGGATTAATCGGAAGGAGCAAGGATATTTCATCACTGTTTTTTGTGATATGAAAATTGAAAAATGAAACATAAAAAAGTCAGCAATTCAATGAAACATAAAGTAGCTTTCCAGCCTAAATAACGGGTTTGTCATTACTTACGTGTCATTTCACAAAAAAGTATTTATCCTGGTTTTTTTTTTTTTTTTTGTCTAAAGTATTTAACATTTTTTTTTTTGGTTGAAAGTATTTATCATGGTTGGGTTACCAATGATATAATAGACAGTTAATCCCTTTTCTTAAAAAAAAAAAAGAAATAAAAACAATAATAATAAACACTAATTGGCTGTTAATGTCTACCTTTGAAGTCTGATACCCAGAAGCTAAGGATATATTTCGGTAAGAGGGCTAAAAAGCTTGATAGAAAACCACAACTAATACAAAATGTGTGGTCCAAAGTATTAAAGTGGACAGAGGGAACCAAAAACATGTTTCAAGGGAGCATGAATTAAATAGACAAAGTTGATAGATAATCACTAGCATTACTCTTATTTCAATAGACAAAGTTGTTTCCTTCACTAACCATATTACAAAAGATTTAATAGATAATCCAGAATCACTAGCGTCATTAGTCTTATTTCAATAGATAAAGTTGGGTCCTTCTCTAACCATATATAATTGAAAAACTCTTTTTGTCACGATAACAATTTACCTTTATAGACACAAAGAGATGGGTCCTAGTGGGAATCAAATGGACTCCACAAGTGAAGTCACTTTTGTGTCTAATGAGAATAAATCTCCGTCGGGACAAATAAATCTGCTCTGTATAATTACATTTCAGGAAAAAAGAGTTGGCTGCCGTCAAGATCAATCAGTTGATGTGGACATCATTGCAAATGAACTAGAGGTCAGCTTCCTCCTATCCGTCCATGTCTAAAAAGGTATTTCATCGTGAAAAATAATCAAGGGCATCAATAGTGCTTGACACCACAACGTGACGTGCATGTGAGATCATATGAGATTTCACTTTATGTGAGTCGGTGGTGTCATATCGAATACTATTAACGTTTTTCTTCTTTGTATTATGATCTGTGATCCTCTTCTAAACATCTTTATCTTTTTTGTAATTGGTATCAACAGTTGGACAAGAAGGTTGAGAGAACTAGGGGAACAGAAACGGGATGCTGTGGCTGCTATTAGACACTTGCTTCACTAACAAGAAAGCCTTTCCTCTCTCCAATGTTAGAAGGCATACAAATGATTTCACCGTCACTAGAAATTATGTGTCGATTAGTGGAGCTTTGTTTCATTAAAAAAAGAAAAACTTGGTTTACGTTTACCCCAAGTTCACTCTCAAAAGTTTTTGTACTGGTATCTTCTCGTTGCGATGAGTATTATTATATATTACCAAAATTCTCCAAATAGGCATTGTTTGTTTCTGCATGCAAACACATCAAATTGTTACTTATACCCTTTGTTAATGCTAATACAAGAACCAAGAACCACTAGTATGCAGCAAAATGGATAGCGTAATAAGATTTTACCGGCCTAATTTAGATAGAAGACACGACTCAATAGTCTTAAGTCTACCTAAATAAACCGCATGAGGGGAAAATCTCTAATTTGAGAGAAAACACAACTTTGTATTTAATCCTAAAAAATATTCAAATCTCCTATTATAATAGGTAATGTAGCTATTAATGGCTCACACATCAAAACGATAACAAAATAACCACTAAAACAAACGACAAACTAATAGCAAAATTAAATTAAATTAGAAAGCTAGAAGAAACGACAATCAAAACATAAACGACTATTTATATCAACTGGCCACTAAGTATTAAGATGATGAACGCACTCAAAGACTTCATATTTTATAAGATTGAGTGCAACAAATTGATATTAGCAAAAGCCATTGGCTGACATACATACACATGCAAATTGCCTTTTTTGAGTGGTGGAAATGGACCAAGCACCAATCCAAAGAAAGAGAAGGAGAATATTCCATCTAGATTGACAATTTCAATCAAAATTACTCCTGACGAATTCATCAAGGAATTCTCCACTTCATAAGCCTAATAATCTTAAGATCGTCTACTACCTTTTCTTTTCTTTCTCTGTGCAACCTTTTTGTTTTTTTCCCTTAAAGTGGTCCTGACAATTCCTCACCAATACAAAATCACAGAAAAGGTGACATGTGATCCAACCAACATGGTTCTCAACCGCAGAACACCAGTGACCAACTTTGAAAGAATTCTTGATGATGTCAGTGCAAAAAAACACAAACCATCACACAGACCAACTAACCCCCAACCCAACCCCAATCACCGTCATAGTTAGGCAGCTCACATGAATGACAACCACTTTCCCCTTTTCCGCTTTTCTTTTCCCTTTTTCTTGTCTGCCAAACAGTCGGCCAAAATCTGAGTTCCAACTTGGTTCCAAATACCAACCACAAGCCATTTTGTGGTGTCTACTATGTCCTTACCAGAAATGGTGTTGGTTCGGTCGGCTTGGATATCTACCAAAAATGGATGCTTCGGCTAGCAATGATGCGAATGAAGCAAAAAGAGTAAACCCCAAATCGCAATAAATGCCGAGGCAGGTCTACATTTCCTTGGCGGTGTTATCGCCAGCAGTAGAGCGTGCTGCCTGTAACTGAAGGGTATAATGTCTCTGCAACTCCCTGAACCTTTCGAGCAGCTCTTGGAATGTTGGGCGGAGTGCTGGATCACTGGTTTAATGCCATTTTACCAATTGAAAACATAAGACAGTGTGGTGTTTAAAGAAAAATACATTTGTACAAGTTCATCGTGGACTCGAAACATAAGAGGAAAAGAGGTTAATACCTATGCCAACAGCTCTCAATTATAGAAGCCCACTGAGGATCCACGTCTTTTGGAATCTCCAGTCTTTGGTTCATGAACCCCACGGCACCGATTACCTGCATTCAAAACAGATTGATATTCATGTATGAAGTCAAAATTCACGCCGTGTAGTAGAAATATATCATCCACGAGGAGTATTCTACACTTATTTGACTTGTTTCCAGCAATGTGTGTATCTACTACTAAATGAAAACAAAGCAACTCATCATTTGATAAATACAAACTATTAAATCTCATATTCTTTCTTGAATATAATATCACGACGTAGTTTGACAGAAAAGCACCTGCATTGAGTTGAGATTATCCCAAGGAATCTTCTCTGTAGCGAGCTCCCATAGTATCACTCCAAAGCTGTATACATCAGACCTAAATGTTTCCAGGAGAAACAAAAACATAAGAAGTTTACCCCCGGTTAACAAGGGAAATACAAGATAATTAATGCTATCCTTGACTAAGACAATAACATACTTCTCATCTGATGGTTCATTGCGAAGAACTTCTGGTGCCATCCATTGAGGCTAGAAAAAAGGGAAAAAAATGGTAGAGATAAATATTATAACGTGAGAACTCAACTTCTGAGAAGCAGCATAAGATAAAATGAAAAAGGAAGAGGACATCATGTGTGCTAGTTAAAGTACCGTTCCCTTCCCAGTCTTAGTTGTGAGATAGGTTTCATGCTTAAGACGTGAAAGACCAAAATCACCGACCTGTTCAGGCAAAAATTAATGAATTTTGACTACCCAAAAGACCCTAAAAACAAGGAAAAAATTATTTATCAAGAAAGTGGGAAGCATACTTTGACAGTCCAATTCTTATCAACAAGAAGATTTGAAGACTTCAAGTCTCGATGGATGATAGGTGGGTTGAAATGATGAAGATAATTGACACCCCGTGCCTGTGGAAATAGTAATAGTGATTAAAGTGTGGACACATATTCCAAGGGATGTGATAATACATTGTTAGACACTAGTTCTTAGGAAGTTAATGGCTAAGAGGGGATAAGTGAGGAGAAAGGTATTAGTTGGGTTTGGACACAATTTCTCAGAAATTATGTTAGTGCTGATTTGTCTTGGTTTTGGCTAGGATTAGAGGAAAGGTATAAAAATAGTGGGAAGGGGCAGAGTTTGTTATGCTGTGATTTTGAGAGTTTTAGGAAACTGAGATTAGGGAGAGTGGTGGTCTCTCGAATACCACCAAATTAGGAGTCCCCGGAGTACTCGAATTCTCCTTTCCATCCATTTTGCTTTCTTTAATTTTCTCCAGCTGGTTTTGGTTTGTATGAGCTGGTGTTGAAGTAAAATTCAATAAAACTCCTCTGTTTGCATCAAATCTGGTGTTGGCTGCTTGTGTGTGTGAGTGTTTGGCTGTTTGGTTGAGGAAATTATCAGGTTCCTAACATACATTTTGTGACTGCATGACAAGTTGCTTCTAACAAAGCTGAATGAATAAAAATAGCAACAAGTTGAAATGCTTAAGAGACACGAGAGACATTCGTAACACTCACAATATCCAGGGCCATATGAACCCGCCTTCTCCAATCCAATTTTGCCATGTTCCTCTGAAGCAAGCGAAACAAACTTCCACTGCATTAAGAACAGATTACGAGTAAGTAAATGACACTCTTAAACAAGTTGTTGGAAGAATCTAGAGTCTTTACCTTCATAATAACTTCATTACTATATATAGCTGTATTATTTGGTGTATCCTATTTCTAGCTTGTAAAGTAGTTGTTGGTAGGTGCATTAACCACTAATCTCCTGTATATAATGTTGTATGTTCTGATTGTTCAATATTAGTATTAGTATCAGAGGCAACTTGGTTCTAAAAAGTTCAACGTCCTTTTTTTCTGTCAGTTTCGACCTTCGTTGTTGTTTATTTCCAATTCAAATACTTGAATTTTTCTGAGATACATGAAGAATGGCTAAAATAAAGAATGTATCATAGTATAAGAGTGGAGGTTTAGACGCACCGTGGAAGGAACTCTGTCACAATGCAAAGACGCTGAGGTGAAGTCACAGCTCCCATAAAGAGCAGCACATTTGGATGTCGAAGTCTTTTCATAAGAGATACCTTCATAACAAAGAAAATATGAAATTTAACATGAAACACGTATAAGAGGGGGGAAATTAAGGGGGGAAATGGCATAAAAACAGCACGAGAGAGAGAAACCATACAGAAATAAGATAATTATACACAATAAACACCGGAGACAGTAATTTGCAAGTCAAAACTGGCCAAAGAGTGAGTTCAGATTTAAAATAAAAAAAAATAAATAAAAAAGGTTCAAAGTACTCGTACATTTGAAGCATACTTTTCAAAGCGAGTAAAAGAAAAGGGCTAGCAGCCCATGTCTTTGAAATTTCTATATTCTTTTTTCTTTGTTTACTACATATGACTATGCAATAATTTATTGCACCTAACAATTTCTTTCCTTGTTTTGCTAGTCATCTTCTACATGTGCATTATAATCTCTTAGGCTAACAAATCCCAACCCTCTCAAAGTTACAACTAAGTCAAATTAGAAATTAATGGACTAAGTTAACCGGAAGTTAGTGAGAGGAACTCTTTTTCCACATACATACAGGTCTAACAAGAGTTTCAAGATTCCAGGTTTGCAACTGAATTTGGATTTACATGAGCAACTGAGAATAATGAACCAGGAAGCATACCTCTTGTCTGAAGGAAAGTATCACATCCTCCGAATATTCTTGCTTGGAGAACACCTTGACCGCGACATCCTGCCAAAGATTATGGAAGACTATTATTCAACCAAACCTAAAGATCACAAAGACAATATCTTTTGACCTTGTTGCCACTTCCATCTAAACTGGAGAATTAAAACAGGGATAGGGAAAAAGAACATACTGATCCGTACCACAGGCCATGATATACAGTTCCACATGAACCTGCAGGGGAAAGAAAACAGCAATTATGTACGAATGAAACGTTATGTGAACTATGCAAAGCATCAAGCATGTTTCACGGCAGATAAGTATTAACAACATACGACGTAGAGAATGAGGGTTGACAAGCAATGACCATTTGGAAGCTTCTTACAAAGGATATTAGAGGAATGTTCAGGATACCATCAGATCCTCTAGGATCCAGTTACACTAGATTAGTAATTGAACCAAAATGAACAGTGTTAAGTAATTTATAAGTACACCGCTGCATGGAAAAATGCCTACCTTGTCCGATCTGCTCTCCAATTGTCAAGTCCTCCCATAATATTTCGTAATCCAGGCAGTCAGTATCCATGTCCACCTTATTCATAGCGCTACTGCTGGTACTTCCACAGCTGCTGACACTGCTTGTGCTGTTGACATTAAATGAGGATGACCAGGAGCCTGAAGCCTCGTTATTTGCAGGCCGGTTGCTTTCATTTCCATGGCTTTCTAGTTTACCACTATGATTCCTCTGATGAGCCGAATCATTCTCTTGATCATTATGTAACCAAGGCCAAACAAAGCGGGAAGCCCTAGCTTCTGATGCTTCTCGCTCATTGCCTTTCCATGGCCAAGATAATCCTTTTTTATTCATCCATGCTTCTGCCTTTGAGGTTATAATCTTGTGGATTGCATTTTTTCCTTCACTCTCATCACCAGAATCCCTGGAGGGCTTTCCTGGGGACTTCTCATCAATATGGGAAGATACACCAATGGTTGCAGAAACCTCTCCTCTGGGTGTGCTAGCTCCACTTGAAGCAGCATCCTCCCGGTGGTCAGAGTTAACAGCATCAGAATGTCCATGATCAGAATAATGACTATCTCCGCTCCCACCTTCACGATCCATGTTGTTCTCCGGCACCCGAATTTTTGATTTGACTTTGTTGCTCACCTTGGATGCCTGTTTCGTTGGTTCTAACAATCAAGACATGCCAACACTACAATAATTTAGAGCAAGATGAAAAATCCAAAACTAACCAAATTTGTTATCTTTGATGCAATAGCAGCTTGCAAAGGTTGCTCAGGATCAAGTCCAAGTTTAGTCGATACAACATTTCGGGGCCGACGCGAGCTCTCGCATTGCCCTGCATCAGCCTGCACAATCCCCATATCTCTGAAGGGCCTGGAATCACTTGATACGCAGATGATCCCAATCAAAGAGCCATCATCGTCATAGAATGGAGTATTGGTCGCTACAATCACAAACCTGTCCCCCATCTTATTCTTGATGGGGAACTGTCCGGTCCAGCTCTGTCCCAAGGAAACACGTTCGACTATATTATTTGCCACAACAAAGTCATGGGAATCCACCAAAAGCTCAATGGCATCTCGACCTAAGGCCTCTGCCGCAGAGTAACCATATAGTTTCTCAGCAGTCCTGTTCCTGAAATATTGAAAATTCCCAAATGGATCAAGTGCAAAAAAAAACCATGAGAAGAACAACAATCACGAGCAAGACAAACTAGCATCTTTTACAACTAACAAATTAAATGCCTCACTATTCGAACTTTTAGGAGTTCATTAGAATCACAATCCCCCATATTCAATTGTCAATCCCCCATATTCAATTGTCAATCCCAACAACACCAATTAATCTACAGTTTCCAATGAACAGTGAAAAAAAAAACCAAACCAACCATATATCCATCACAACCTAAAAGCAAAGACCTTTAAGCAAAAGTAACATCTTTCACCAAAAAGGTGATTTAATGCATGAAATAATAACTTCAAGTTAGAGAATTTACTAGACCCATAATCCGTAGAGTGAAATTATCAACTCCGAAAACACCACCAAATCCAGTATGCAATGAACCAAAAAAAAAAAAAAAAAAAAAGGGGAAAAGAAGCCCAACAAAAAACTTACTAACCTAAACAAATTTACAATAATAATAAGAAAGAAAGAAACTTTACTGAATGGAAGTGGCTTACCAGTAAATTATACGACCAGTGAGATCAAATATAAAGAAACTTTACTGAATGGAAGTGGCTTACCAGTAAATTATACGACCAGTGAGATCAAATATATGAACAGATTGCCCCATGGACTGCAAGATATTCAGATACTGCCTATCGGTGAAATTGACAGCCGAGGGTCCCACACCCCCTCCTCCACCTCCACCATCGCAAGGATCGCGGCTCCGGCTCTCCCTCTGCAGCGGAGACGAATGCCGGAACGACGCGGAGCCTTCGAGTCCGGCTCGGGGGGGGGGGGGGGAGCCGAGCCTGGAGCGCTGCGGCGAGATGGAGTGGGACCTCTGGTGCGGGCGGCGGTGGTGATCGGACCTGGCGGCGGCATCGGTGGATTGCAATAGCTTGGACATCTCATTCTTGAGGTGCGCGTGGCCTGCCTCCAGCTCCTGGATCTTCTTCAGAAGCTCCTCCGCCGGCGGCGTCTCCATTGTTGCTCCTATCGTTAGCTCTCGAACCAGAATCGCCGATTGGGAACAACTTCTCGAAATTACGAACAAACATGAAGCACAAGAAGAAGAAGAACAAGAAGAAGAAGAAGAAGAAGAAGAAGGGGAGTTTCTCTCTCTAGAAATGAGAAGATAGAAGGAGGAGAGAGAGAGTTGATAATATTCTGAAATCGATTGAATCTGTTTATCTTTCTATTTGGTCTATCTGAGTTCTGACTTGGTGGCGGTGTTGTTGATGTTATTCTTCGCTTTCTCTCTCCTCTTCTTTCTTTCTTTTTTTTTTTTTTTTCAGTTTCTATCTCTATCTATCTTTAAATTGGAAGGAAGGAAGAAGTTTGCTTATAAGAGTTTTTAACTAAAAGTGTGTGCAGTCAATTGCTGAATCCGATTGAATATAGATGGATTTATTTATTTCTTTATCTATTTGTTTATTAACTTATTATTATTATTTATTATTTTTTTTGTTTTGAGAGGTCAATACGTAAAGAAATAAAACTCTTTTTTTTCTCTATTTTTCTTTCCTCTATCTATAAAATAAAGACGTATAAAATAAATTTAAAAAATACATAGTTCTAAATGTTAATGTTAATCGCAAAAAAAAAAAAAAAATTTCATAAAAATGGACAATTCTAAACCTAAACCGTTAAATCTATAAACCATTAGTCTATGAGTTTTGCATAATTTTTCATCTAAATGTGATTTTAATTATGTTTATGTTGAAAACATGCAATATTCATAAGATAGTATAGAGTTTTTATTTTTAATTATAACAGAAGTATAAGACGATCCCATGGTTTAAAATAAAATAAATACATACGGGATATTTTTCATATACTAATTCTTTTTGTTATTATTATTATTTTTAGCTGTTTTTTTCTTTGTCGGCTAACTAAGGTTTTTGTTTTCTTCATCAACTAATTGATAAAGGTTTTTGTTAGGCTATTCCTTCTCTCTCTTATTTTTGGGAATTTGGTTTTCTCTCAATCCCCCAAAAATGCATCGTCCTCATCTCAAATCTAACCATTCTGACCAGAAAATTATTATTATATATTATTATTATGATATTAAAGCCTTTTCCACGCAATAAACTTGAGCGTGGTCTTTTATAGCCTGTCGTTGTTGGGCATTGACCGCCGAGCAATCCAGTAGAAGAGCGCGTTTATTGTACGCGACTTGTTGCGCCTTTTGGAATTGTCCATGCAAAAATAGTTTTTATCTTTAAAATAAGTGAGATGATGTTTGTTTTCTTCTCTGATTCTAAAGCATAATTCATGAGCCGTGTTTAGAATTGATCCTATTTTTATTTTTTATATTTTTTAAAAAATAAAAAATAAAAAAATATTTCTAAAACGGCGTTTGACGCAATAAAGATAAAAAACATAAATGAAAGTGATTTTTTAATTTAGTGTAAAATGAAAGAAATAAAAAATGACTTTTAGTCCTTTTTTTTTCATTTTTTACTCTCTCGAGCAAGGAGAAAGAGAGAGACGTTAATAGGTTTTTTTATATTAAAAATAATCTCTTGATAAAATTATCAAATGCATTTTTAAAAATAATTTATGTCTGAGATTGAAAACGTTTTCATTTTCATTTTCATATAAAAAATAAAATCATTTTGGAACGAGTTTCAAACGCGCCCATGGTTCTTTACAGTAGTGCTCTCTCACAAAAAAAAATACACGTAAAACGAGAATAGTTCTGAATCCATGAACCAAACGTCAACTTACAATAGTGACTTGAGTGTAGATCTTAAATTGAATTTAAGTTGAAGTTGTAACTCGAGTTTGTGTTTGGATGTGCACATTTGAGTTATGATTTAAATTGAGAATCTATTTGAGTTTGTGTTTGAGTGGGTCAAAATTTGAATTTGTATTTACATATTATTTTAATAAAAACTCAATGGTGATGAAAATTTTAATAGGGTATATGGTGTGGTTTTATTCATCTTTTCGTTGTGAACGCATAGAAAAAATCATCTCAATCGGAATTAAAATGAAAAAGTTATGACGTTTTTAAGAATAGAAAAAATATTGTTTATTAACTTGAATTTGAGTTTAAGAACTTAAGTTGAAGGGGAAACTTGAACTCAAATTTTAGCCCCGAACTCAAGTTCAAACTCAAATTTTACAAACGAACATGAACTTGAATAAAGTTATAACTTGAGTTCAAACTTTTTTTGAGTTTTACTTCAAAAGAACAAGCCCGGTTAGAGTGTATTTGAATATAATTTTTGTTGAGACTTTAATTTAAGTTTGTGTTTGGATGTGCACATTTTAAGTTATAGTTTGAATTGAGAATCTATTTGAGTTTGTGTTTGGGTGGGTCAAAACTTGAATTTGTATTTATATAGTATTTTAATAAAAACTCAATGGTGATGGAAAATTTTAATAGGGTATATGGGTAAAGTTTTATTTGTCTCTTCGTTGTGAACGCATAGAAAAAAAATCATCTCAATCGAAATTAAAACAAAAAAATTATGACGTTTTTAAGAATATAAAAAATATTGTTCATTAACTTGAGTTTGAGTTTATGAACTTGGGTTGGAAGGAAAAATTAAACTCAGATTTTAGCCTCAAACTCAAGATAAAACTCAAGTTTAAACTCAAGTTCAAACTTAAACTTTATAAAAAAAAATATAAATTTGAATAAAGTTGTAACTTGAGTTTAAAATTTTTTTGAGTTTGAGTACAAATGAACGAACCCTAAATGCTCATAAATTTTGTTCTGATTTCCGAACTTGACCTAATTTTAGTTTGGCATTTAAAGATGGAAGAAAAATGTCCTTTTTAATAGGGACTTTAATATGAATTTCAATGTATTTATTAGTGTTTAATTATGTATTGTGTTAACTTCAGGCTTAGATTACTTAATTTGCAATTATGCAATTTCATTTGGATGAATATATGGGCCACGTGCATGACCTAGAATGAGTTTTCCTTTTTTGCCCCCAACTCTCTCTCATGGATTTTTGGTACAAAAAAAGATCTCATTTTGTGGAAAATCCCTTTTAGTGGATGTCCAATTAGGGTCAAGTTATGTGGGCTAATTAAGGTTCACAAAAGAAAATAAGTGCAAAAAAAATGCAAATTGTGTGCTCTAAAAGCTGTCTAATTCATCATAGTTGGATTTACCTTTTTTTTCTCTTTTTTTTTGGTGCCAAGTAAATCTAAGGAGGAGTTATTACCCATAAATGTTACTACTCTCCCTTGGCTAAAATCTTAATCACAAATTTAGGTAACTCATTTGAGTGTTTGACTTTTTGTTTTTCTTCTTTGGTCTTTGTATGTATCCCTTGGCCTTCTTTTTTACTCTTCTTTCTTTCTTCTATGTTCATACTCTTAATTGCCAATTAATTTTCCATTTTCCAATAATATAGTTTCTCATTTGGAAGCAACAACAATTTGTAAACTCCCCCCCTTTCTCTCTCTAACCACAAAACTTTTTTGTTTCTCTCACTATAACTTTTTCGTTTGCGTGCACAGCATGATAAACGCGCAAGCACACAAATACACAAATGTTTGAGACGTGAAAGAGACAAGAGAAACAAAACAAAAAACTCATTGTCCTCTTTCCACAATCAAGGGATAATATTATCATCACTTAATAAGGGAAACAAGTGACACTTCCATTAGGGCCATTACCGCTAAAACTTTACCATAAAATATATAAGAGCCCTAATGCTCTCTCTTTTCTTTTTTTTTTTTTTTTTTTTTTTTTTTTTTTAGTTTTAGAGATTTCTACGGTAAAACTTGAGAAAATAAAGTATTTGTAGTACTCTATTTTTAACCGTCATGTCTTGATTAAAAATTACTCATTCTGCATATTTTTCAATTTTATGTGATTTTGATCGTATTAAACAGTTAAAAAAAATTGTCGGTAGTACACTATTTTTATCCGTCATATCTTGATTAAAAATTATTTATTTTACATATATTTTCAGCTTAATTTGATTTTGACCATATTTAACATTAAAAAATATACTACTGGTAGGAGACCCAATTAGAAGACTTTTTTTTTTTTTTTTTAATTAGAAGGTTTCATGTTCTGAATTAGAACCAATCTTTTATCCTCTTTTCCATTCCATGCACCCACCACTTTTAAAGCTCATTCTGAACTGGCAAAAGTTGACCTCCAAAACTCATTGCCCATCTAAGTTCATTGGTTTCCTCTGATTTAATTAAGTCACATATGCAAATAATATCTACTTCATAAACTATGCCTCCTCAATTTAAATATACAATATATGTGATTTCTTTATCATTAAGTCATCTATCAATATCTACTCGTTTTGGATTTAAATATGCAATGCTTACTTCATCAAAATTGTAATTGAAAATATTTTTTATCATCTACTGGTTTTGTATCCTTCCCCTTTGCCTTCTTTATCTTATTTTATTTTATTTTATGGCCATGCCCATGAATCCCAAGGAAGTTGAAAACCCTCTCTCATTAACCTTATCCAAAAACACAAAAAAACAAAAACAAAACAGACACAAAAACAAAAACTCTTATTAACCAACACTCTTGAAAAACATTTGGAGACTAATATAGGCATTTCCAAGAACAGATATTGACGAATTCGTTTAATTGAAGTATTCAACAGTCAAATTCTTGAATATCCATTACCTCTTTTTTTTTTTTTTTTTTTTTTTTTTTTTTTAAAAAATTCTTTTTTTTTTTTGCTTCAAGAATATCCATTGCCTCTTTTTTTTTAAAAAAAATTTTGTAAGGCAATTAAAAAAGCATGGAGTATTTTGTTTTATCTGAAGAAAAAAAAGCAAGGAGTGTAAAAGTAACCGTTATCCACATCCATCCTTTCCCCATCATCAGTCAACTGCTCAATACTATGAATTCTAATGCACGTTTCCCAGAGAAAGTGAACATTAAAGTTATTAGAAAAAAAAAGTTGAATGGCAAATTTCATTGGCTACCCACCTGCCTAAAGAAGCCACCAATATCAAAAATCCAAATACAAAACATGGCAGTATGAAGTAATCCCTCTCTTGCCACAGGATCAAACAAGCCTGAGCTGCTTAAAAGGAATAGACATAAACACACTGACAAGAATATCTAAAACTCCGTTTGTTTGTTAGTTTAAATCACAACTCAAGTTTTTATTACTATGTTTTCTCTCGTGAAAATTCAAATTCAGGAATAGACATAAACACACTGACAAGAATATCTAAAACTCCGTTTGTTTCGTTAGTTTAAATCACAACTCAAGTTTTTATTACTATGTTTTCTCTCGTAAAAATTCAAATTTAACTATTAAATTTATATATTCTTTATAAGTCTGATATGATCCGGGGGTTGAAAATGCATAGTAGCCTCATAGTAGAAATGACCTGCGGAGACTCACTCCTTTCAGGGCACTTGAAATTCCTATTACTAATCTCCACCGTAGAAGTTTCGCCTCCTATAACTAGAGAAGCATATGTTAATATCAGTTGTCAGTCATTTATGTCACATATAATAATGCACAGAATATTGATGTTTTATTATTCCACAGTAAGATGAAATGTACAAAAAGAGGGAAAGGAGGGACCAACTCAGGAGCAGGCTACAGTACACCAACTGTTATGAGCACTCTTGAGGAAGTGAAGCACAATTTATTTAGATAGAGAGTACAATTTTTGTACAAAAAGGATTATGAGAATCTCGCGTCCAAAATCGCGACATGCTTTTGATCTTCGAAGCTTCAACAACAATCTCAGATGACCACCACTTGATCCTTAATGATGGAAAGGAAAAACAAATGGCATTACACCTCCAAATTAGCATACTGTATATCATTTATGAACATATAGTCTCTCAAGACTTAACTTGGCCTAGAAATTTTTTTTTTTTTTACTATGTTACATTGAGTAGAAAGGTTGGTGATTTGGTCATAGCGTGAGGGAAAATAGCAGGGCCAAAATGGGGTGGGAGTGATTTTTATTGAAAGCCCCTTGAACCGAATCGCTTTTGCCTCGGTTCAGGTTTGATCTATAACTAGTTATCAAAATTCAAACCATGCTCATGGTAGAGTAGACATTAGAAGAAGCATATATTCTTTTAGGGCTGATATTAGGAGAGAAGCTTAGGTGAATTTTGGGTGTCAATCAACTTAGTCATGAGTAATAATACTCTTTGAGCCTCTTCGTCGAATGGGAAGTTCAAGAATAATCAAGAAGTAACATCTTTCTGACTCTCTGATATACTGAACATCGCCATCCATGAGCTTCAAGATCTTCCTGCACATGCTCAGCCCGAGACCTTCCTGAGTCATCCATCGGCTGCTGTGGAACATATCTTGAACCAACTCGGGAGGAAGGCCTTCGCCGGGGCATACCATCCTTCACCACAAACAACATGCCAGCTTAAAATTCATTGAAAACAATAAAATCTTATTGTTTACTTGATGTAGAAATCACAATTGATTACTACATAAACTAGCATGAACAAGAATACCATATGCAGATAAGAAGACAAAGAGTTCAACATAAAGCGTATAAGTGGTTGTTATTGATTATATTTCCTTTTGAATAAGTCTAACCCCCCACAAACTTGCCTGAATTCAGTGTGAAGCAGAGTGTGACCATCATGAACTTTTAAGCTTGGACGAACGAGAATCTCAACCCAACCTTCAGGAGACGGAGCGTAACGCACCATATTCAAGAGGAATTCAGCCAGAACCTGTTGAATTCTTACTTGATCACCATAAACTGCCAATGTTTTAATCTCTTCGGGGATGTCCCGAATCAGCTGCAGATTCCTTTCCCTCAGCAATGTCGTTACTTGGCTAACAACAGCGTTTATAACACTACCAAGCAGGAACTCTGCCTTCTCAAGCTCCAACGAACTAATTCAAAATGAGGGGAAAAAAATAAAGAGTTTAACTTAATGTCTTCATTCATTGTGGAAGCTTTGTAAAAATAAATTAACAAATTTAGCAAAGAGTTTTTCCTCTTTTGTCGGGAAATAGTGTGGCGTCACCAGCGAAATTGGAAATAAAAAGACTAGTTCACAACACCATTGATTTATTTAATGATTTTATTCCCTCCAATAATCCAAAAATAAAAGGTTAGTTTTGAATAGAAACTTACCCATCTTCAATACTATCCAAATCAACATCCCTTATGATCTTCAACATTTGCTTCTCACAAGCGGCGCTCGTCTCAAGAAACTGCTTCTGATCTTCTGTTAATTCAGTTGCCTCCAAGAGTGAGTTAGTAAACCTTATACCATTCAGAGGGTTCTTTATTTCCTGGCAAATGTAGGCCAACTCTTTCATCCTAGAGAAACTTCTCTTCTCTTGTTGCCTCTGAACTTTGATGGCCTGCTGTAGCTCAGCACTCGCGATTTGCAAGAAGCAGAAGGCCCCAATGACCTGTCCCTCCATGTTAACCCTCTTGTTCGCCGTCAAGAGAACCTGCACGTATTTCCCATCCTGGTCAAAGAACGAGAAGGGAAACTTGTCTGTGTCCTGCCCTTCAATGGCATTGTGCAAAACAATCATGAATTTTGTCAAAGCATCTGGACCCTTTAGCCGGCAACAACTACCGAAAATCTCTCCGACCAACATCTTCCCGATGATCTCCTCTTTAGACCATCCGGTGAGTTTCTCCATCGCAGTGTTCCACTCTGAACAACATGTGTTGTCATCTGATGCAAATATGGGAGGTATAAGAGGATTGGGGCTATGAACAATGGCCTTGTAATCGCCTTGTATGTTAATGAATTTGTCCATTACCACTTTTTGGCCAGTCACATCCTGCCCAACAAAGCAAACTCCAACTATATTGTCTGTGTAATCCCGGCTAGAACAAGCATTGACCACAACAAAAACAGGTTTGTTATGGTGTTCCGCGCCAAATCTCCTCATCTTTATCTCTATGTTCTTATCCTCTTCCCCTGCATTATAAAACTTTAAAGTGACGAATTGTTCACCGTGTTACTTAATAAGCTCTTAAACCAGCTATTTTCAAATTTACTAACAAAATTTCTGTCAAATTTCAGTCACTTCACCTCCAAGTTTAATGAATTTGTCCATTAAACATGACTTCCTCTGAAGAAGGATCATTGTAAATATTGCAATTTTTTTCCAAAAAAAATAATAAAAAGAAAATACTTCATTTTTTTCTTCCAAATGGCCCAACTCTCATGGATGGTTTATAGATAAAGTTCTGGAATTGAGGGAAAAAAAAAAAAGAAAAGATGATCGGTATATAAGAAATACCCCTTAAAGCCCGGTAAAGGAGTTCTTCAACAGTTTCGCTAGATTCTTTATAAACAAGATCATAGACCAAGGACTTCCCCATTGCTTCCTCAATAGAGAGCCCCGTCAACTCTGCAACCTTTGCATTCCAACCGTTTATGCGCCCCTCGACATCCACAGCAAATATCGGCACAGTCGCTGTCTCTATCAACCTCACCATTTCCCTCGCAACTGAGCTCAGCTCATCCATCCCTTGCAGCTCCAGGTCCCCGAGCTGAGCATTAACAACAGCCTTCGAATTACTCTCCTTAGCATCCCTAAATGAGTCACGCAGAATGAGTTGCAAAGAATGTATTGCGTCCATCTCTGCGTTCTCCCATGGTAGGCTTCGGCTCTTCACCACCTCCAGGAAGGCCTTGAATGAGGATCGAGGGTGCATCCTCTGGCCATCATCCTTGTCCTGGGGGTGATGCTTTGCACCACCCCATTTGATCTCCTTTGCAGTGTGGGACCGAAACCAGAACAGAAAATCCTTCTTGGTGATGTAAGCCACAGCCATGCCACAAACCGCATCTCCTAGCGTGGCTGCACCGGGATATCCAGCATCGGCCAAGCTGTCTGTGCTCAGTCCCGTCGAATCCCCATGAAAAGCCAGCAGCCACTCCACAATGTCCTTAATCTGCGCCTCCGTCGGGGTCACCCCAAGAGGGTAGTACTTCCCTTGGTAGTAAAGCGCAGCCCCATCACACTTCACCAAGTCCATAATACTAGGACTCTGAGTAACAATCCCAGTTGGAGAATCCCTTAGAAGCATATCACACAACAAAGTTTGAGTCCTCAAAACATGTTTTTCGGACATTTGGGATGCCAATTGCAACTCCATGTTCAGTTGCAGCCCAAAAGCCTGCATCAAAAACTCACAAGCATACCTGATGCAGAATTAAGAGAAAAGATACATAATGGAGATAGATAAACAGAATCAACAGAGATCAGATAGCAATTATACGGAGAATAAGAACTCAAAGAGGAGGGAATCTGAAAATATTGATAACATTCATTCACCAACCAAGTCCGGATTCAAAGTACAATTACTAAGCCTATATAAATAATGACATAAACTTGACCAAACCTAAATAATTCGGACGAATAAACATAATGTTGAATTCCTTATTATTTATACCTTATAGAGTGTCTGGATAGTTTCACTTAGTGAGGTCCACTTATTAAACGTGGTTGTTACCTCCTCCTGAAGACTCTTGTGATCGATCTGTGCATGAGTTTTATTTGTTCTGTTTTCGTGTATTTTATCAAAAATATTTTATAAAGCGTCATTACCTCAAAGGGAAACGAATACACTTAAGCAGAAATATGGTGGCAAACAACCAAACCCCAGAAATTCATATTGTTCCTTCCACCAATGGCAACCTCAATCTACACTCAGGGAAAAAATTCAAAAGGAGGGAATCTAAAAATCCAATAATTCAATCATTCATCAATCCAACCTAATAATACTATAAAAGTCAGAATTCAAAAGGAGGGAATCTAAAAATCCATTGATGAATGAATCATTCATTCATCAATCAAACCTAATAATACAACAACAACAACAAACAAACAAACCTTAATCCCAACTTAATTGGAGTCGGCTATATGGATTTCACTTTTCCACACGGCTCTGTTCGAAATTATACTTTCCTGAAGGCCTAGATCTAGAATGTCTTTCCTAACGACTTCGGTCCACGTAATTCTTGGCCTACCCCTCACTCTCCTAGTATTAGGTATAAGAATGTCCTCCCAAGCACGAACTGGTGCTTCTAGCGGTCTACGTTGGACATGCCCGAACCACCTCAAGCGGCCTTCGCGCACCTTATCTTCTATTGGTGCTACACCTACTTTATTACGAATAACTTCATTCCTTATACAATCCATTCTCGTATGGCCACTCATCCATCTTAACATAATAACAAGACAATAAACTTAACCAAACCTCAACAATCCTAAATTCCTAACCATTACCTCAAAGGGAAAGGAATACACCTAGCTGAAGTATGATGACAAACGACCAACCCCCACAACTTCATGGAATTCCTCCCACCAATGGATGAAGCAGCTTCCTCTTCACTCCCATTCATAATAACCGCCAAAACCAAAGAAGCAATAGACCCCATATTAGCCATATACTGAGTGTGACAACCATGAGGAGCTCTAAGTGTAGACCCCACAAGACAAAGAGGTTGCATTAGCCCCTCATCTTGCACAACCCTGACCAAAGAAGCATGGCAATCCACAATCATCCTCACCCTGTTCTGCTTGAACAAGAACCGTGACGCCTGCGGGATATCGGTCGAGGGATAGTGAAGCCCAATGTAGGGCTGTAAATCAGCTCGTTTGCTCTCAGCCACAACCTCACCGTGCTCATCCTCATGAAACTTGTACACCATCACTCTATCATACCCGGTAAGCTCCCTAACACTCTCCACAACAGTGTCGCACAACAATTTGATGTCCCCGCCGGGGAGAGACTGCAAATTGGATATCGCCCGCACGGCGAGCTTCTGCGACTGGACCGCCCCGGCGATGGATAGAGCGGGATCCTCCGTCCTCGCGGGCTCCAAATCTATAACCACACCAACGTCCACTCTATGGAGAATTGCGTAAAAAGGCTTTCCTGAACTCTTGGAGTGAATCCAAACCGGGTTGAGGAGAGTGATTTCGCGGGCGGCGAAGGCCTTTTCGAGGAGGATGGAACTGGAAGGCGTGAAGAGTGTCCGTACGTCAGTGCCAATGGTTAATAAACGGTCGGTTTCGGTCGGTTTTTCTGATAAGTTGGGGACAGTTATGGAGTACGAAGGGGAGTTGCTGTTGTGGTTGAGGCCGAGCATGTCGGCTGTGTTTTCGGAGAAGGCGATGAGGCGGAAAGTGGGCTCGTGGACGGCGAGGGTGCAGCCGAAGGGCTGGATGTGGCCGCCGCGCTGGATTTTGGAGAGGTAACCGGTGATCTCTTGCTCGTCAGGGGTGGTCGTGGAGGTCTTTATTATTGACTGCGAGTAGTTGAACGACCGACCGGACTCGCCCGACTGCTCGAAAACTGCGTGCAGTCGGGCGTCCAGAGTGTACTGGGCTACTGCTTTCGACATGTTCACGGACTCGGTCGGCTGCTGCTGCTGCTGCTGCTGATGATGATGGTGTTGATGGTGTTGATGATGTTGATGATGATGGGAAGAAATTCGGGTGTTGGGAGGTGAGGAGGACTGGGAATGAGCTGCTCTGCTTCCTGATGCCATTGTTGTTTGTTTTTTGAGTTTTTTTTTTTTTGTTGGATTTTTTTTTTTTTTTTGGGTTTTGAATTTAATGGGGTTGGATCTTAGGATGTTTGGTTTTTGACAGCATAGTTTTGGGGTTTTATTAGTTTTATTAATTTTTTCTTGGGTTTATTTTCTTCAGATTCTTTCTGTACTAGATCAGAAAAAGAAGAAGAAGAAGAAGAGAGCGTGTCTTTGATTGGAGGGTTGTTGTTGTTCTTTGGGGGGAGGTTTTTTATTTTTTATTTTTTATTTTTTATTTATTTTTTATTTTTTATTTGTTTTTTGAATTTAATGGCTTTTTGTGGAGTAGGATGGAGCATATGAACAAGAAAAGTTAATTTGGTTTCGCCTTCTTTCTCCTTTTTCTCTCTTTAACTGAGAAGAGGGAACTAGGAGGTGAATGAAGTGACACTTTTTTTTTTCAGCCCCTTTTTTTTTTTTTTAAAAGATATTTTCTTTCTTTGTTTTTGATCTCTCCTCTTTTGTGTTTTTTTTTTTTTTGGGATAAAAAATGAAAAAAAAAAGAAAGAAAAGAGGAATTTACTTGTGGGCAAAAACAGAGCAATGGTGAAGGGAATATCAAGGAAGGACATTTTGATTGGTGGTCCTGCATAGTCTTGGGCCATGCAAGGACAAATACATATTGACACTACAGATTTTTTTTTTCTCTTTATTTTATTTTATTTTATTTTTATTTTATCTTCTTTGTCAAATTGCCATTTTTGCCTTCCCAACATTTAAATCTCACTAACTTCTATAAGTGAGTTTCAGTTTCTTCAGATGCCAAAGTAGTTAAAAGTAAATTAAGTAAAATATTAGTACATATCTTAAGATTATTATAGGATTTAGCTGATCATGTGTCTTATATAATAGTGATTTCAAAAAGGGCAAAAACATGTTCAACAATATGATATCATACTTCTGAGCAGACCCCCAAAAAAGGTATTGTAATTGGGTCTTTCCTGTTTTCTATTTATAGAACTACTAGTCTATCTGGCGCCGCATTTGGTTTTCGATTTTTAGTAACTAGTAAGCATAATATAACCCAAAAAACAAAAAAACAAACAAACAAAATGATAATATAATATAATAAATAAAAGGGTCATTCCCTTCTTCAGCTTTTGACCAAAAGAGTCACATTCAAATTCTTTTGTGTTTTAGCAAAAGGGGAAGGAAGAAACTCTAATGTCTCGTAATATGATTTTTAGTACTATTTTAGGATCATTTTCTTATGTTAACCTCGGTCACTTCGCGGATTTGAGTTTTTAATTCGAGCTGAAATGTGACATTTTTTGAGAGCTTTTCACTGTAGCAGAAAAAGTTAAATGTGATATTTTCTGAAAATTTTTTACTGTAGAAATATAAAACTGAAAACTCAAATCGGTGAAATGAACGAGACTTTATGTTTTTCTCTTCAATTCACGTCAGTAGACTCCACATATTTTATCGTCACTTTTACATTTACATCTAAGATTATGTATTTTTACTTTCTAATATTTGTGTCGCGAATTTTTCTCGTAGCACATTAGAAATTCTTGTATTTTCTTATTCAAGGGGGAGATTTTTTTTAATTGAGATCTCCTCACCCATTTTGTGAAATATTTAAAAAAAAAAACGTGAAATATTCTTTTAAAATGAAAATTGAATATTCCTACTTCCCAAGTACTTCGAGCTGAGATGTGACATTTTCTGAGAGCTTTACACTGTAGCAGAAAAAGTTAAATGTGATATTTTCTGAGAGCTTTTTACTGTAAAATATAAAACTGAAAACTCGAATCGGTGAAATAAATGAGACTTTATGTTTTTCTCTTCGATTCACGTCAATAGACTCCACATATTTTATCATCACTTTTACATTTACATTTAAGATTATGTATTTTTACTTTCTAATATTTGTGTCGCGAATTTTTCTCTGTAGCACATTAGAAATTCGTGTATTTTCTTATTCAAGGGGGAGATTTTTTTAATTGAGATCTCCTCACCCATTTTGTGAAATATTTAATAAAAAAAAAAACGTGAAATATTCTTTTAAAATGAAAATTGAATATTCCTACTTCCCAAGTACTTGATACAAACAGTGGTAATGTGGGCTTAATGTGTATAACAAAATATATATTCCTACAATACTTTTTAAGCCAGAATGTAGCAACTTTTTTTTTTTTTAAGGTTTGCTAGATTTCAATTTTTAGGCACCATGCTAAGTCCCTTTGGGACAACTTTAAGCCAAAATATATTTTTGATCTGCCAAAATATATTTTCTTAATATTAGTTTATTTTAAAGGAGAGAGAAAGAAAGAAACATGGGCAAATGGGTTTGCTTTGAGAGGATTTTGTCCTTGTGAACTTATTTGTTCGTTTATTTATTTATTTTGTTGTAAACTTACAGATAACATTACTAGGCTCTGCCATTAGCAGCACAAACACTAACCTAACAAGAGAAGTAATCACCTCAATGAATTGGAGACTCAAAAAATCCGAAAAAACAATGCTCGGGTAAAGTAGGAGGGCGTATGCGTAGCACGCGCGATTGACGATGACCGGAAGTTCTCACTTGGCGTAGAGAACGTCCTCCCACGGGTGGTGGTAGAGCAGCTGCTTCAATCTCTTCTGGTCAAAGGTGTGCCTGATTTTGCCAAGTGAGAGCAATTAGTAACAAGGAACCAAGTATAGGAACCGTTATGAAAAGGAAAATGGTACACATGAAATTAAAATATAACTTATTAGTGGTAAAAATAAAAACTGTGACAAATTAGTAATTTCGGTTTCACATAATTGCGGAATTTGACACATATGCATACATGAATATTTCATTATACAACTATGAAACATGAAACTAAAGTGTTATTAGAGGTTAAAAAAAAAAGTTTTGTAACGGTAACTTCAATTTTACTGAACTGCAGAAATTTGACATATATGCATATGTGATTTTTCATCATAGATATCATAGCACTTACAGAAAATGAATGAGAAATTAAACAGAAGATTGTTTGTTCTATGCTTAGCAATCTGGCCCAGTAATGGGCCAATGCTTGTCTGTTTTCTTTTCCCCATACATCCCCTTCCCCCTTAAAAACGATAAAGAAATGCCACAGCCAGGTATCTAAAACGGTAAAAATCCCCAAAAGTTGAAACTGACTTCTTTTGTCACTATCAAGTCATGTTTCAATGAAATAGGACCATCTAATCTGTTATGGACCACAAAAAAAAAAAAAAAAAAATTTAAGCACGTATTCCTTTGGGGATAAAAAAGGCGAGTTAAGGTCGTAATCTTGTCTGTTGATACAACATAAGGAACAATGCAAACAATCTGGATAAGAATTTTTTTTTTAGAAGTAAGAAACTCACCCAATAAGACCAATGGAACGTGCCAAGACGAATAGCCCGTTCAGATAGCCAATCTCGACGATCTCATCGATTTCTTGTTTGGTGAACATTCCACTGCCAGCAAGGAGATCCAAGAAGAGGGTCCCGATTGCACCATCCACGTTAAGGACCAGGTTGTTTGCCTTTGAGAGGGTGTAGGCTTCAACTTGCATTGCGTATTCCATGTACTTGACGGAGGGGAAATGCGTGCGCGCGAACCTTTGGAGAAGCTCTACTCTCTTGTCTTTGTTGCCACCTTTCTTGGTCCTTTTGCCAAACAAAATATTCCAAAAACTCAAATTTGTAGTGTGACAAATAAATTTTTAGTTATTCATATTCTTAACACGACCTGTTACCTGTTCCCGATTCCTGGCACGCGAATACCCTTCTTCTTCATACTTTCAGCGAATTCATATGGCGTAAGATTCTGGAAAAAGACAGTGAGCGTAAACACACTATTAAAGTGGTAAGGCACAAGTTTAAACTGAGGGTAATCATAGAGTTCATCATAGCTTCTTACCTTGTCACATGCATCCTTGAAGTATCTAGCAGAATCGTCAATGGCACCACCGAATCGAGGACCAATAGTGAGCAAACCTGTTTCAGAAAATCATCTTTCATTGCTCCATTACACTAACATCACCAGTGTTTTAGAATTCCGGGTCAATGAACCGTTTCAACGGCTTAAATGTACCTGACACAAGGCTCGAAACAAGATCCTTTCCAGCCCTAGCTGTTACTATAGTGTTGTGAGCACCCGAGATGCAGGGACCATGGTCGGCGCATAACACAATGCATATCTATGCAGTCATATGATGTATTAGTTCAATAGCTAGAATAAACAACTTCCCTTTGAGAACCAGAAGCTAAACATTAAATGAACAAAATTTTGCATGAGGGAAAAAATGTAAATAAAGCCTTCATACAATTAAGCAGTCTACCTCAATAAAATGAGTACAGTAACGAGGAAGGCTGCGCTTGAACCATAATAGAGAGATAACATCACCGACGCCGTAGCCCTGCTCAACAATGGAAGACATAGGTACACCAGCATAGCAAGGCTCCTCACCTGCAAATTGTTCAGAAGTAGAACACAATGTTATGTTTGACAAACATCCTACAAGAAGGGAAGAACATAACAGATTTACTTAATACCTCTGACGTCGGAGATTGTGCAAACAATGTGGGTTGGAGCGCGAACTTTTCCACTCTTAATAGCAGTGCTTAGATCTTCAGGAATTTGTGGAGGCTTCACTTCCTTCACAGGTGTAATCTTTCCCTCTTCAACCTAAGAAATTCATTCAAATGTGTATACTTTAGAAGTGTAGGAGTGTACGTGCAACTCTAGTTTGAAAATTTACTGAGTTGTCTACATTCACCGTGTTTAGTTAGCTGGTTCAAATTAATGTTGATTTGAACTGTGTGCTTTGAATTGCAATCCAAGTTGGTGTTTGGATGTGCTATGAAAGTGTAAGTCTGAACAAGGAATCAACTCTAAATTTGTGTTAGGGAGAGAAGTCAACTCTAAATTAGGCAGTTCAACTCAGTTTGAACTGGCCAAATGCCAGTTCAAGCTTTGCTCACCATTCGGAGTAAGTTGAACTGGTGAAACTAACGGAGGCTCAATCCTTTTGCAGGTTAGAGAAACTGCAACAACACATACAGGCATGTGAAAGCTCAATGCACACTGAACTAACCAATTTCTCAAACGTTTCCTTGATTGCGGTTTCAAGGGCTTCATAAGAAGTAGGAACAACGGCTCCTGCATCCCTTAGTGCTTGATTCTTTGCTTGTGCGGACTCCATTTCACCACCACTTTTAGCACCCTGGATTGCATA